TAGGAAAAAAGGAACAAGGAAGGGCTGTTGGCTGCAGGGGTCCTCAGTGTGTTTCCAACTTACAAAAGAGAGAGCAAGAACAGCCAGAATCACATAACTGAATATTGGCAGGCAGACTTTCTGCTGCTACTCCTATACTACTGAGCGTTTTAAACACTTAACAATTAAGATGACTCTGTCAGACTGTTCTTGTGTTTCCATTGTGGCATGAACACACTGCACATGACCATCCCCCACCACACCACAGTCAGCTGCTGGTTGAACCAATCAGATTTATCATTTTAACATTTGTTTTTGAAATTCTCTCCGTGTTGCCTTTTCAGCAGACACCCTTAATTCAGTATTTACCAACAGTTAGCCCTCAGTGCTGTTAGCCATAGCACCATTTCCCCCTCTGTTGTAAAGGGAAATAATTGTGGTCAGCTGTTGGCAAATGTCAAGTTAATCATGATCACTCTATCAGTAACTCACCAAAGGGAATGTCACGTAGTTATTTCCAATGTTTAAGAAACAGGTGGAGAAAAGTGTTAGGCCTGCGGCTGCTCCTTTGGAAGTCAATGGAAAACCTAATGAGAGCCAGTTCTGGCCCATAATCAGTGTGGGATAATGCTGTGTTTCTAGTGCCAAAATATGCCAACTCATTTTCCCCCTGGTGAAATGTCAAATTAAACAGAAAAAGATAACATCTTTCAAAATTCCACTAAGAATTTTTTTCTAATTTTTTTTTTTTAAATAAATGGCATGTTAGCACCATGTCATCATTTCTAATAGTTGAGTTCAAGTTCTGGCTGGCCTGGACTTGTTCTGAGCTGATTGTGGTGGAGAGAAAAGAGAAAGAAAAGGGGGAGAGTTGGCAACTCACCTCAGATGTCACAATCCCATTATCACCATTGGGTGTTTAGTAATTGAGTGTTCAGACTAATTGATTGTCTGCAGTTTTATCTTTCCTGCCTATTTACTCTTGCAGACCTGCTCCTTTGATAAGTGTCTGTCTCTCTCTCTCGTCCTATGAAATCAACCACATCTCCTCTTGGACTCATTAGGGATCATTGCTGAGGCTGAACAAACACAGAACAAACCTGGTAGAATGCCTGGAGCAGAGGTGTGGTTACTATTGAAGTTAATGAGACTCTGAACATTATAATAATGACTGCAGCATCAAACCAATGGCTGTTAGAAACCAGTACACTGGGTGGGAAATTGAGGTATACAGGTTGCAGAGTAGCAGCCGTGTTAGTCTGTATTTGCAAAAAGAAAAGGAGGACTTGTGGCACCCTAGAGACTAACAAATGTATTTGAGCATAAGCTTTCGTGAGCTTCATCGGATGAAGTGAGCTGTAGCTCACAAAAGCTTAAATAAATTGGTTAGTCTCTAAGGTGCCACAAGTCCTCCTTTTCTTTTTGAGGTATATAGGTCTACTTTAATTTTTGAGTTTGGGACTGTGTCCAGGTCAAGGATTTTGGCTGTCCCATTATAAAAACAGGTGATGTGAAAAAATGACATATGAGTTCAGATCTGAGCATACATCAAGGTTTGGGTCAGGAATAGCTTTCATTAAGCTAGAGAATATATTTCTGAAAAGTTACTGTTTCTAACTATAAGTACTTTGCAGTTGGAACACTGACTTCTACAACAGAAAAGATCTTTGTTGCCCAACATGCACTATAGCCGAACTATTATTCAGTAATACAATCACATAATTTGTTGCTCAATCTTAAAAAGAAAATTGCCTAAATGATTACACAAATTTCAGTTAGCTTTAGAAAGGGTTTTTTTTTCATAAGGCAGTAACTTACATTTTAAAAACAAAATGAGCAAAACAATTACATCTCAAAAATGTATTGACAGTTCAATGATGCTCCCACACAAATAGCTATATTAGTACCATTGAGGATGAAAAAGCTACTTCTCACAGTAGGATTTTGGCTTAAAATTTTTTGATGCTGTCCGACATATCAAAGTAGGCTTTAAAAATTGAAAACATTTAAATAGTGGAAAAGTTTTTCTTTGTTAAAGCAAATAAACCATCCCAAACAATTTTAAATGAACATTTGAGATGGTGAAAAATAGTGGCAAGATAATGCTAGAGACTGAAGTTGTTCCACTAAGTACAGCACATAGTGACATTGCAAGCTTTCCCTTACTTCTCTGCAGATATACCTCAATTCTGTCCTGATGGAATTGCTTCCAAGGTTAGGGAGATAACAAGGACTACATGGGCATTGAGACTGAGTTGAAACTGCCAGCCCCAGTACCAATTACAATAGTAGTACCTGTCCACTAAGGATGATCTCAGACCATCAGTTAATTTCAGTGGAAGAATATTTTTAACATTGCATTTTTCAAAAACCAGTTAGGAAGAACTAAGCACTCTGTATATGTCTTCACTGCAATTGAACACTCACATCAGCTGATTCAGATTGCAGATCTCTAAAATTGCAGTATGGCTGTCTGGGCTCAGGCTGGAGCCATGATGGTTTCAAAGCCTGGGCTCGAGGCCAAGCCCGAAGGCCTACACTGAAATTTTATAGGCCTGCAGCCTGTCAGCTGACATGGGCCAGACACAGGTGTGTAACTGCAGTGTAGAGCTACCCAGAGTGTCAGAGCTAAATACAAGGTTGAACAGATTGTTAAGCATAAGAGAATGGACCATTCAAGGTGAAGTAGGACTACTACTGCAAGGGTGTTAAATGTCCACTTCATTTATTTAGCTGTGACACTCTGAGTACCCTTCCCAGACCTGAAGAGCTCTGTGTAAGCTCACAAGCTTGTCTCTTTCACGATGAGACGTTGGTTCAATAAAAGATATTACCTCACTCACCTTGTTGCTCTATTATCCTGGGACCAACATGGCTACAACACTGCAAACATTAATACATTATCAGAAAAATTCAAATCACAGTTTGAAGATACTGAACCATGAAACGTATACAAAAATTTCCCCTAAATCTGTCAGATGAGCATTCCTCTAGGTGATGCTTCTGTCATTTTTGCTTACCATAGTAGACATCTGAACATGAATATGGAGGGCATATAGATTTAGAAAAATGGGCAGGTTGTAAAATGAATTGAGTATCAGCTGTGACTACACGGATTCATACTAACATTCCATCCTAAAAATATCATGGCTATATGTAGTCATTTCCCCCAACATTCTCATACAGCTGGAAGATTTCTCTTAAATACCATATTTTGTTTATGTAAAATCAGTTCTTTGCTGATCTTTCAATTCTTTTATATCACAAATTTACCTATATTTCTACAAATTAAAGTCTCTCAATCTCTGTTTTAAATCTTGGAGATACATTATAGAGTCCATCAGAACTATACTGAGTCAGCATCTAGAGAGGCATAGAACCTTGTTCAGATGAGACATACTGTTAATTTCATTACACTGGACATATTGCCCATGGATAATTTTACTATAGTTCACACTATATTTTACCCTTTCCAAACTGCACAGGAAAGAATTACAACAAAAAACTGTGTAATCCTACAAAGTCACCTAGAACTTTAAAGGCATACAATAGAAGGGAAATCTGATGCAACCTGTGGATGAGGAGTGAGAATGGAATGTTTAATTATTCTGAATCACACAGCCTGGTGGAAAATACTTGCTTCCATGAAAATAAAGAGAGGTTTTGATGGAAAGTGCAATTTCCAGTGAACTCCTTGGCTTCCATAGATTGTTCGTTTCTAAAAACAATGTTGCAGGTAAGTACAGTACATGCTTCAAAACATTTTATAATAATAATGAGCATACACTCTTCAGGGCAGGGACTGTGTCATCCTATGTGTTTGTACAGTACTCTGTGGTCCTGATCCTGATTGGGAATTTTGGGTGATACTGTAATACAAATAATAATGTATATTGTGCTTTACATGTTCAAAGCACTTCACACAACCAACTGTCACTAATTCTCAGAACACCCCTGTGAAGGGTGTGCATAAGTAGTCATATCTTCATTTTAGACAGTACCAATTGAGACAGAAGGTGAAATGACTTGGCCAAACCTATACAGTGAGTAGATGGCAGAGACAGGACCTTCCAACTCCCAATCCAGTGCTCAGTCCTCTGGAAAAAATGTTATGGATGATATGACAATTAATAAATGAGGTTCTTAATTCTACCTGTGGTCACTCAGTGTACAGTAAGGCCACTCTTACCTCATATTATTGGATTCTACTCTAAAGAAGTTGGCCTAATGCCAAGTATCAAATATTAGCCAAAGGCTTTCACAGAGGTCTAGATCCTCAAATATTTAGGCACTTAAGTCCCCAATAGTGCCTAAATACCTTTGAGGATCTGGGCCATATTTAGGGCAAATGAATTACTGTGCTGTCTAGCTATACAGTGGTTTGGAGAGACCAATGGCACCAGAACTACGCCAGGAAATTGATTTGTTAAGCAGTTAAGCAGATTTTTTAAAAATTGGATCCTGATTTTCTGTCTTGTGCAGCTGTGGCTATAGTGTTGCGATTTACAGACAATAATCACAGTAACGATGATGTGTTAGCAGTGTAGGCTCCAGCGCCTTCGGAGATTTATAGTTCTGCTCAGTGTGAACCAAGGCAGCAGGAGTGACTGTGGGACACTCTTCTGTGGACAGATGAAATGTTTATCACCTATGTCCTGACTCCCCTGCACCAGCTGAGGGAGAGAGCCTGGTACAGCAGTGATCACGCTGGTGATAGCTAGGAGTCAGTCAGAAAGAGGGGCTCCAGGGCGTCACAGCAGCCACGAGACCCAGCCTCCCTACTATGTCCCGCTTTCCCTGGCAGATCCCGCACCCCACTGCACCCAGGACCCCTCGGAGCCCCAGCCCCTCGCACACCGGAGCCCCTGCTCCCTCTGCTCCTAGTCCCCGCGAGTCCCCCTCGAGCGCCCGCCAGCCGCTCGCGCAGGCCGGCCCGCGGCACTGCAGTCCCGCAAGAGGCGGCGGGGCTGGGGTCAGGCGGCTCCTCCTCCCGCCGGCGGCCGGGTCACGTGTAGCGGGCGGAGCCGGCTCTCCCGGGGCAGAGCCCCAGACCAGCCCCGGCGGGGTGAGCCCTGCTGCCGCTTTCCTTCTCCCTATGAGCCGGGCGGCCGCGGCCGGGAAGTGTTGCCGGGGAGCGCCTGGCGCAGCCGCCGCTGTCCATGTTGGAGGGAGCTAGCACCGAGAAGGAGCCCCTGCTGCCTGCCCGGACAGCGGGCCGCGGCCACCCGCACAGGGGAACCTTCGGGGCCGGCGACTGCCCCGATCCCGCGGCCTCCTGCACCGTCGAGGACGGTGAGTGGCGCCCGGGGAGCCTCGGGCATGGTGCCACGGGCTGGGGCCTCGCAGAGGGGTCCCGCTGGGGCAGGGAGATTATGGGGCGTTCCCGGCGTACCCAGGGACTGGGCTCTGTAAAGTAGCGCCTGCCCCTGTAGGGGAGTCCATAGTAGGTAGCAGGTTTCAGAGTAGCAGCCGTGTTAGTCTGTATTCGCTAAAAGAAAAGGAGGACTTGTGGCACCTTAGAGACTAACCAATTTATTTGAGCATGAGCTTTCGTGAGCTACAGCTCACTTCACAGTATGCATCCGATGAAGTGAGCTGTAACTCAGGAAAGCTCATGCTCAAATAAATTGGTTAGTCTCTAAGGTGCCACAAGTCCTCCTTTTCTTTTTGCATAGTAGGTGGGTTTTGCCCCATAGAGCATAGGCACTGCCGCCCGTGGGTGTGTGGGGGAGCTAGAACATCTAGAGCATGGTGCTTAAAAGACCCCTTAGATCAGCGATCTCAGTGCCTGGGGGTATTGCCTATGAAAAACCCATAGAACATGGACTTCAGCGCCTGCTGGGCGGTGCTTATAGCATATGGACTAGTGCCTGCAGGACCTCGGCCTTGGTGACACTACGGTGGGTGGCAGCTGCAGAGCAAAGATTCAGGGCCAATAGAGTGATGCCGGTAATCATTCCAGACTGAGGGCTTGTCTGCAGGGGGAAACTGATGAAGTAGTTGATGGTGGAATAAAGTGCACTGGAGTAGCTCCCCATCTGGACAGTCTGTTCTGGAATAAAGGTGATTTGATTCTGGAACAGTTTGCTGTGCTTTGGAAGTGCACTGTTTATTCCAGAATAAAGTGATTGTTTATTCCTAAATAGGATGTCCACACAGGGAGCTATTCCAAATTAGTTGTCCTGGAATAAGATAGTTCTGTCAATTTCCCAGTGTAGACAAGCCTTGGTGTATCAGGTTTAATGCCCATAGACTGATAGTGTATATACATAGCTGGCATGTGGATTTCAATTTGATTTGTCACATTGCATTACTTTCCTTCACTGTGCCACTGATTTATTTACTTACTTGTTTTGGATGAGTCTAGCTGACTGGGGATAATGAGTGAACAAAAACAAGAAGACTTGAGGTTTAACGTGTTTTCAATCGTCCACTCCTGCATCATGCTGTTTTCTTTCAGATTTATTTTATGTTAAGGGCTAAATGCTCCGCCCCCCCCTCCCCACAAGAGATGTAGACGTCTTAAGTGGGCGCTTAAGACGTCTTTATGTTGAAGGGAAGGTGTCATGGAAATTTGTATAAACTAAACTTCACACTGTCTTTAGGCTGGGATTTTCAAAGGAGCCAAAGGGAGGGAGGTGCTTATTTCCTATTTGAAATTCAACAAGAGTTGGGTGGCTAACTCTACAACTCTTATCAAATTTCAGTAGGAATCGAGCACCTAACTCCCTTAGGCTTCTTTTGAAAATCCCAGCCTTAAATTGCAAGGCACTTTACATACTTGTTTCTAAGAGCCCAATTTTGTGTTGAACTTAGTAGCACTCTTGAACTGAATGCCACTTACTCACCATTGTGTGACGTAGATCTTAGATCTCAGTCCATCCCGTGCTTTGCTGTACATTGGGTTACCCACATTTGCCATTCTTGCCTGTCAACTGCCCTTCTCTCCAAATCTTCCCATTTCATGTTGAGGTGCTTGATGTCATTCAGAACTGTTCATTTCCATGTTATTCATGATCTTCCTCTCTTTCTTCTTGTGTTTGCTGACATCCATTCAAGGATGGTATTTGGTAAGTGTTCTCTTTCGATTCTCAGCACATGTCCCAGCCACTGATGTCTTCTTTTTTAGATTATTTGTGAGAGGGTGTCTTGTCTAGTCATTTTTCTGACTTCTTCCATTGTGTGACTACTCGTGTTAAATACTGCTCACTATAAGGGTAGAATAATTGGGCCCAATCATGTCTATGCTCTGGGCGCTATAGCTGTGTTGCTACAGCTATGGCTCTATAGCGCCGTTGTGTAGATGTTTCCTACATCAACGGAAGGGTTTTTTTTGGGCACTGTAGGTAATCCATCTCTCTGAATGGCTGTAACTAGGCTGATGGAAGAATTCTTCCATTGACCTAGCTGTGCCTACACTGGATGTTATGTTGGCATAGCTATGGTGCTATGGGGTGTGGTTTTTTTCACACCCCGGAGCGCTGTAGCTATGTCTACCTCATTTTGAGTGTAGACTAGGCCTTTGAGTAGCACATTCTCGGTAGTGCATAAATCACACACAAATTATCTTTACTAGAACTGCAAACACATTTATTTTAATATAAAACCTAAGGGTGGGATTTTTCCAAAGTGCTCAGCATTGACTTAACACTACTCCCACTGAAATCTGTGGGAGCAGAATTAAGTCAGTGCTGGGTGCTTTTAAAAATCCCATCCTAACTGTTCCTCCCTCTTTCCCCAGTTCCTGACAGTATTCCTGTAATCAACTTTGGCATTATTATTCTGTGGTCACTTAAATGGGGAATCTAAGATTTAAAAAGATAAGACTACTGAAGGCCTTTTCTGCAGTTTGAAAGCAGCCTCTGTTTTTTTGTAAAGCAATTTAATCTCTGTTGCATTTGTCTTCATGGGTGATGTCAGGGTCTGTTTAAAAAAGATGTGGTTGTTACACACAAATATGCGTTGACAGTTTTAAATTGTTTGCTAACCTCTTAGGAAATTGAATGCTATTCAAATCAGTCATCTGGGAATTCCATTCAGTGGTGCATATTGCTTAGTGATGCGTTATGCTTTTGAACCAGGGATGTGGGCAAAGCTATACTACCTATGGGATCAATTTTTTTCTCATAACGTCCCAGTCAGCCTCCTTGACTGCTATGTCCTGCAGGGATAGTTTGGAGGTGCTGGTACTGAACTTCTGTCGGCTATAGGAACGTCAAGGGAGATGGCATCTTCTCTTTTTAAATTCAGGCTCTAGAACCTGTTACTAGCGTGTATTATGTGTGTCTCTGAGCCCCGTCATCATTTGCTCTCTGAGGGAGAGACTTCTCCTCCTCCCCCACAGGCATGGACTGTTTCTGATTCCCTTTACTGGATTAATTACTGGGGCAATCAAAGATTCCTTGATGCCAAAGGCATATAGTCAAAATAAAGGTGGAAGTGCTCATTCTTCACTCTTGCTGTATATATAACTTACTGCAGACTTTGTTAATTAATTTTGGATTGATAATTTCATAATGGGTTTAAATTGCAGCAAGGGAGATTTAGGTTAGACATTAGGAAAAACCTCCTAACTGTCAAGGTATTTAAACACAAGAACAAATCACCTAGAATGGTTGTGGAATCTCTGTTATTGGAGGTTTTTAAGAACAAACCCTGACAAGCATTTGTCTAACCTGTCTAGATAATACTTAGTCCTGCCTTGGTGAAGGGTTCTGGTCTAGATGACCTATCAAGGTCTCTTGCAGTCCTACATTGCTATGATAATATAACGGTTATGTAGTGATGCTTTATTTTACTTCATTACTTGCTGTCAGTTTTTCCCTTGTTTTGGATCCTGCCCTGGTGGATGTAGTAATAAAAGCTGCGGGTAGATATAAAAAGAGAGGACCCAGTCCTTCTCCCATTTCAATCTGTGGCACCATTCCATTGAGTTCAGTGGGATCAAGGTCAGGCCTAGAATTTTGAAGCTATTTATCTTTTTAAAAAATGTAAATCTGCATAACAGACTGAAGTTGTGTTGGACTATAGATGCTACCAAAAAGGAATTTGGCTGAGACTCTATTAAATAGGAATTGTTCTGATTTTCTTTATCTCTGATTTTTGCTGACTGGAAATGCAGCCCTTTGTGCCTGTAATAACAACTAGGTAAGAGTCAGTCACTTAGAAATCATTCCAACAGGATTTATTTCACTTTTCCTTTTCTCTGATTAACCTCTCTATGAGCCCTTGCACTGGAGGGGATGTTTTTGTCAGCAAAACAGTAGGCTTCTGGGAATCAAATGCTCAAATCCTGACAAAGAAATCCTGACACTGAGTGCTATGTAAGTTACTCAGAGCTTAATGTCTACATGGGGCAACTTACTGGCATGATACAATTATCAACATAATTTAGCAACATCAAGTAAACTGAAAAAAGGCCACTATTACTCTGAATAAGAGTGTCCAAATGGGGAATTATAACTATAGCAGTAAAGCTATGCCAGTATGTTCTGTGTTTTTACAGTGCCTAGCACAATAGGGTACTGGCCCAGGACTTGGGCTTCCAGAGACTGGTAATAAAAATAATTAACAATAGTAATGCCAGTAAATTTCTCTTTATAGAGAAACCTTCGATGTGTGGATGTGTGTGTCTTTTAAATAGACTTTGCAAATAGAAATCCTGTCTGCTTGCATAGACATTAAAGTTCTTTTTGAAAGAGGGGTTATCCTTGTGTTCTTGGCCATAATGTCCTCTCCCATTCCCCATACTGTTGTGGGGGGAATGGGAGTGTTCAGCTGATGGTGACCATCATTGCCAACACATGGCTGATTTTCAGTGAATCTCTGTGTATAGTTTGTGATAGATGTTGGTGTCCGTCCTTTGTTGTGAAAGGTGCAGTGTAAATGTAAGAATCTTATTCTTATACCACATGTGTGGGGGAGTATGTAACATTAATAGGGACTGAGATTATTCCTACAGAGTAAGTGAGGGTTCAAATAGCAAGTGTATTATAAACAATTTATCTCCCAGATTTTTTTTTTAAAGCCATGACTACCTATTTTTTATGGTTTCCTGCAGACTCTTAACTATGTAAGATATGGGAGGTAATTGTCCTGCTCTACTCAGCAACTGGTGAGGCCTCTGCTAGAGTACTGTGCCCAGTTCTAGGTGCTTCACTTTAGGAAAGATGAGGACAAATTGGAGAGTCCAGAGGAGAGCAACAAGAATGATAAAAGGTTTAGAAAACCAGACCTAGGTGGAAAGGTTAAAAAAAAAAAAAAGGGTATGTTTGTCTTAAGAAAAGAAGACTGACTGGGGGGACCTGATAAGTCTTCAGATACATTGAGTGTCACAAGGAGGATGGGAATCAGTTGTTCCCCATGTCCACTAAAGGTTGGACAAGAAGAACTGTAATGGGCTTAATCTGCAGCAAGGGTGATTTATGTTAGGTATTAGGAAAAACTTTCCAACTATAAGGGTAGTTAAGTGCCAACAGAGGTTGTGGAATCCCCATCAGAACAGATTAGATAAACACTTGTCAGGGATGGTGTAGGTTTACTTGGTCCTGCCTCAGCTTAAGGGGCTGGACTTAAATGATGTCCCTTCCAGCCCTACATATCTCTGATTTTTATACTTTATTTTGAGCAGTATTGTTCATTTTGGCCCCAGGGTTACCAATGGTCCACACAAATTTTATGCCCCCTTGTTGAAAATGTTTACATCAGAAATAATGAAAAGGTTATAGAAAGAGCTATTTACTTGAAAGAACTGTCTAAAGACTGACAAAGCATTTTAAATTTCCTGAATTAATAATTTTTTTGTATACCTCACGTTGCCACACTGCCACACATTGCATTCCACATTTAGGCCTTGTTAAGTTGAGAGGCATTGTTCTTTGCAGGAGATGGGGGATTGTAGGGACACCGTTCGGACAAATTTTTTTCCAAATTTAAGTTTTGGAAACCTTTCTATTGGCCTTTGGTTTTGTAAAAGTTTATTTTTATATGACATCTTTTGACATTTTGATGGGGAAAGGTTGCTCTTTTCCTGCCCTCTCTTCCTGAAACAAATGACCTGTGAATCTTGTAACCCAACCACTTCATTTTAGAAACAAGCTACAGGAGGACCTGAAAGTGAAATTGAGTATATATAGACTAGTCTGTGTTTACGCTGGGTTTACTCACAGATTCTGCAGTGAAGTGTGAAAAGAAAAGTAGATTTCTTTATTTCATATTCACTCAGTTAAGGTAGTGTCTATAAGATAGGAAAGGAAGCTTCATCTCTTCATAATCCACATTCAAAAACACGATAAAATTTGACCATGGTAAGCAAGTTGGTGTGCTTAGACCTCTGCATATTGTGCTGACTTACATTATCTGATTTTTGTGTGCTCCCCTTTCTGTTGTTGTCTCTTGTCTTATACCTATATTGTAAACTCTTTGTGGCACAGATTGTCTTTTTGTTTTGTGTTTTGTACAGCATCTAACACACTGGGGTCTTGGACCGTGATGGGGATGCCTAGTTGCTACCATAAATAATAATTAATAATTGGTGCGGCAGGCATTGCCCAGGTAACATAAATGACCACTGTTTCTTTTAACCTCACAGCTGCTGGAGCTGCCCATGATCTTTACATAAACCAAGCTGTAGTATTTATTGAAGATGCAATACAGGTAAATAGAATTTGTTTCTTTCTTACTGTGCCTACAGTGCTGCGTATTTGTTACATGTTAAAATTAAGGCTACAATTTAGTCATGGAGGTCATGGAAGTCACAGCTCTTAGGCTAGCTCTTATTTTCAGAATCTGTTTATTCCACATTTACTTTACTTAGGGTATTTTGAACAAACTTTGATTGAAGGAATGCTAAATAAGTGAGGGTAATAATTATACTTGGTGAGAGTTTAATGAATAGAGCAGGAGACTACTGTCAGAACTCTTGAGTTTTATTTCCTGCTCAGTTATTGGCTAATTGCACGGGTTTAGGCAAGGTAATTAGCCTCTCTGTGCCTCAATTAACTGAGCTATATATGGCAGTAATGATGTCTACCTCCTATAGGTGCTGAGGTATAATTTATGAGAGTAACATGTTTTGAGGTCCTTGGATGAAGAGGTCTTTATAAAAGCAATTTCTTTCCCATATCATTTTTTCTTCACATGTATGCAAGCTAAGGGGTAGTCATTGGTGGACTTCACTTTACATGAACAGTAATTTTTCTTTTTTCGTTGCCTCTATGTTTTAGTATAAAGCTGAAAGTGTCTCAAATTAGGTTTTAAATAGCTTTTTTCTCCCTCTTTGAGGTATAGACCAAATGCAGTGTCTGAATTACTTTTCTGTGCTTTGTCTCCTGCCTCCAGTATCGTTCCATAAACCACCGAGTGGACTCCAAATCGCTGTGGCTTTATCGATGGTACTATTCAAAAATTTGCCAGTGGTGAGAACTTGGTATTCTGCTCTTTTTGTCTCTCTCATTTAGCAGTGGGTTTTGAAATGACTTCTTGTCTTTCTTTTTTGTTAGTTTGAGTAGCTAATATAATACTTGTTGTTTTATTCCCAAACAAATTTTTTCAGCAAATCAAAATGAAGAATAAATGTGCAAGTGATGAGAATGGACAGTAAGAAGTATTGTAAACTCTTACTCCTGCAGATAGCTCTATAGAATTCCGTGGGGCTAGTCACATGAGTAAAGACTGTTTGCAGGAATTAAGGGTTTGCAGGATCATACACTACAGTTATTCAAACTTGTATTTGTTATTAGCATTTAATTAAGCAGCAGCAACTGTGTGTCTTCTAGCTCATCTGTTTTCCAGTGGGTGCTATTAAAAGTCCAACATTTTCCAAGCTGTGGTATTTGGTTTGAGGCCAGCCTTTTTATTCTAAATGCAGACAAAAGTCCTGTACTGCTTAGAGGTGTGATATAGTGCTTTCAGATGGTGTCCACTATATGCATTAAGCTTAATACCATTATGAAATTTGATATCCTTCTGATCTCATTTAATTTTGTCATCGGTGTCTGCGCCCTTTAATTCCTGTCTTTATGTTCCCCACCCTTCCAGGGTTTTGAGTCTCACCATTACTCTAATCCTGGCTCTGGCTTTCATTGAAACCCCTTCTTCGCTCACGATCACGTCGGATGTACGATATCGCGGCACAGCCTGGGAGCCTCCTTGTGGCCTGACTGAAAGTATAGAGCTGCTTTGTTTCCTCGTCTTTATAGCTGACGTCTCTGGGAAGGTGAGCAGAGTCATGGTCTGTACAGTATGTAAGAAGCATGTGTGCTTGCTCAGCATAGTTATGGTAGACTCGGTCAAAGTGATGTGTCTGTCCCTCCTTTATATTTTGGGAGATGGTGTGATTTGAAAGGATATTGAGGTTTGCAGTTTTTGAATTTGTGGTGTTTATATCTTAAATTTTGGAAAAAATGCAACTTCACATTGATGTATAAAAACAGTGCAAAAACACTTCAAAATTAGGGAGATACTAGTCGTACATTTCCAAGAAATACAACCATATTTCCTTAAATTCAGACAGCTGTTCACTGATAGTAAATAAATTGATAATTGTGTTGCTAAGGGCCAGATCTGGCTGACCTTATTTGGCCAGGTATTCTTGCTATTTTTGTTCGGGTTGTAGAATTGGGCCCTAAATGATCCAGTTTGCTCAGATTCAGACTAATTTCTGAAGTTTGAACCCTTAAGTGCTTCCTATTTTTGAAGGATCAGCATTTTGATCACTACACAGATATTTACCGTGTGTGTGTGTGTGTATATATATATATATGTGTATATATATATATATATATATATATGTGTATATATATATATGGTTTACTCAAAGAGGTGAGGAGCACCTGCAACTTCTGTTGACTCTTACTTAGCTCCGCTAGTAGAAGAATTCTAGGATTCAGTGTAAGGTGTTTTTGCCACATTCTGTGGGAAATATTTGCAACAAAGACTGAGGCTTTGTCTACACTGGCAAGTTTCTGTGCAGTAAAGCAGATTTCTGCGTTGTAACTCCCATGGTGTACACACTGCCAAGCCACTGAGTGAGCAGAAACTGCGCAGTTGCAGTGCTCTAAACAAACCGCCCCGATGAGAGGTATACAGTTTTCTGCGCCGGGGATACAGCACCACGGTGCCAGTGTAGACACCCTGGTCAATTACAGTGCTGTGATTGGCCTTTGGGAAGCGTCCCACAATGCCTGTTCTCGCCTCTCTGGCCATCGGTTTGAACTCTACTGCCCTGCCGTCAGGTGACCAACCGTCATCCCCACTTCGTAAATTCCTTGGGAATTTTGAAAGTCCCCTTCCTGTTTGCTCAGTGATGCGTGCAGTGGTCTCAGTGCATCTTTCCAGGTGAGCAAGCCTGCTCCATGCACCAGGCGATCCACCGCTTGGAGCAATGCCAAGCTCCCCATCAGCATTTGGGGAGAGGAGGCTGTTCAGTCCCAGCTGCACCCCAGCCGTAGGAATTGTGACACCTACTGACAGATTTCACAGTGCATGGCAGAAAGGGGTCATGACTGGGACACACTGCAGTGCAGGGTCAAAGTGAAGGAGCTGCAGAACGCCTACCACAAGGCGCGGGAGGCAAGTCGCCACTCCGGTGCTGCGCCCATGAGCTGCCGGTTCTACAAAAAGCTGGACGCAGTACTTAGTGGCGACTCCACCTCCACTGCGAAGGCCACTGTGCATACTTCAGTGGCTCGCCTGCCAGTCGAGAGTGGACCGAACCAGGAGGAGGAAATCTTGGACGAGGATGTGGAGAGGGAGGGGGACCCAGAGGCAGAGGACGACTTGGAGGTCAGAGATGCATGCAGCCCAGAGCTTTTCTCTACCCCTCAGGAGGCTAGGCAGTCACAGCTGTCGGATCTTGGCGAAGCACAAACAGGAGAGGAGGCCCCTGGTAAGTGGCTTTGATTTGGGAATCGCTGAAGCGAGTTGTTGGGGGCAGGAGGGTTGCAGAAAGCAGGCTTGTGTCGGTATGATGCGCGTACCACCACATGCCTAATCTGAGTGGTGGAACAGGGTGTTGATTGACTTCCTCACTTCCTGGGAATCTGCCTCAGAGATTTCCATGAAACTCTCATGGAGATACTGGGCAATCCGCTGCTGCAGGTTCTTTGGCAGAGCTGCTTTGTTTTTTGCCCCATTAAGGGTAACTTTCCTGCACCACTCTGCTGTCACTGGGGGCCTGGGGGGACACCATTGCTGCACATAGGCGAGCTGCATAAGGGTCAGGGCGGAAGCCGCAGTCTTGGAGAAGACCCTCCCGTGATTTTCTGCTCACCAAGTTATTCCCTAAACTATAAAGGCAAGAAGAGTGCGACATTGATCTCGCAACGCATAACAGTTACGACACGAGATTGCTGGTGGCATTCATGGAGGTGCTGACCACAGTGGAATGCTTCTTTTGGGCTTGGAAAATAAGCACTGAGTGGTGGGATCACATCGTCATGCACGTTTGGGATGATGAGCAGTGGCTGCAGAACTTTCGGATGAGGAAAGCCACATTCATGGGCCTGTGTGATGAGCTCACCCCAGCCCTGTGGCGCAAGGACATGAAAATGAGAGCTCCCCCGTCGTTGGAGAAGCGCATGGCGATTGCACTGTGGAAACTGGCTACTCCAGACTGCTACCAATCGGTCGCTAACCAGTTCGGAGTGGGAAAGTCAACCTTTGGACTCATGTTGATGGAAGTATGCAGGGCCATTAATCGCATCCTGCCCCGAAAAACCATGACTCTGGGGAACATGCGTTTCATTGTGGATGGCTTACAAATGGGCTTCCCTAACTGCAGAGGGTGATAGATGGCATGCATATTCCAGTTCTGGCACCTAGCCAGACCACCTAGCCACTGAGTACATTAATCATAAAGGGTATTTCTCAATAGTTCTCCAGGTGCTTGTAGATCACCGTGGGTGTTTCATGGACATTAACTCAGGCTGGTCCTGAAAGGTGCACAATGCACGGATCTTTTGGAACACTGAGCTGTTCAGGAAGCTGCAAGCAGGAACTTTCTTTCTGGACCAGAAGATCACCCTAGGGGAAGTCAAAATGCCCATTGTGATCCTGGGAGACCCTGTCTACCCCTTAATGCTGTGGCTTATGAAGCCATGCATGGGGCACCTTGACAGCAGCAAGGAGTGGTTCAACAGGCTGAGCAAGTGCAGAATGGGTGTTGAGTGTGCTTTTGGCTGTTTAAAGGCCTGCTGGTGCTGCCTCTATGGGAAGCTGGACCTGGCCGATGACAATATTCCTATGCTTATAGCTGCATGCTGTATGCTCCATAATATTTGTGAAGGGAAGGGTGAAAGTTTCACTCAGGGCTGGACCGCTGAAGTTCAGTGCCTGGAGGATGAATTTGAACATCCAGAGACCAGAGCTATTAGAGGGGTGCGTGTGGGCCATAAGGATCAGGGATGCCTTGAGGCAGCAATCTGAAGCTGAAAGCCACTAATATTTGTTGCTATGCTCGGGAATGCAGTCCTTGTAATGCTAGGAGACGATTGTGATTGGTGTAGATGATGCACTTTGAAGGTGTAAGAAAATTGCCTGTTGCTTTGCAGGGCTCTGTTTGCTTTCAATTAATGTAATAAAGATTACTTTCAAACCAAAAGAATTATTTTATTAAAAAAACAACAGCCAGAGGAGAGAGAAACAAAAAACACATTACCACTGAGGGGGAAGGGGGAAGGGAGGGTCCCAGCAGTAGGTGGGGTCCCAGGATGGTTAAAGATTTGTGTATGTCCAGGTATCATATCCAGCCTCTCCTTTGGAGTACAGTGCAGCAGGTACTGTACTTCAGCAGGGCTAAACTGCAGAGGGATGGGTGTTGAGTGCAGTGGGTACTGGGAGTCCGCAAGGCTGGACTGTGACGGGGCAGGAGTTGAATGCAGCGAGTACAGACTGGAGCCAGGAGGTTGATAAGAGGTGTGTTGGCAGTGTCTGGGGGGCGCATGGGAAAGAGTTTTGCGACAGCAGCTGCCGGGGAGGGCGGGTGCGGAGCTGCTCAGTTTGCAGTGCTAGTGGCTCCTGGAGCATGTCCGCTTGGCGCTCCATAATGTGTAAGAGCTGCTCCGTGGCTTCGTTCTGGCGCGCCACATTCTCCTTTCGGTCCCTCTTCTCGGTGTCCTGCCACTCCTTCAATTCTTGTTTTTCGGCTGCGGAGTGCATCATGACATCATGCAGCAAGTCCTCCTTAGTTCTTCATGGCCACTTTCTAATTCTGTGCAGCCATTCAGCTGGCGATAACAGAGGGAGGCTGGGCTCCCCAGGTCACATCTGTGAAGCCAAAATGCAACATTTTACAGAAGTAGTATTATTTGCAACACACAGACCACTGATTTAAAACACGGCCACTATTCTCAAACCTGTCACTAACTGGCTGACCCCAGGCAAGCACACATGAGCCACAAGACTTCCAAAATGGAGAGTTGGGGCAGGGGAAATCAGTGTTCCAGGACCGTACTGTACGTGGGGCACGTGGCTCTTGGGGAGAGCCAGCACTGTGGGGGGGGGCACCTTATAATCATTCCTGTCCCCACATTTTCCACAGGCTGTGTTCATTATGGAAGATATCTCACTGCTGTTAGTGAGAGTGAGCAGCATATTGATAAACAGTGCGGGATCCATTCCTGCAGACCAAAGAGGCAGAGCGTGCAGTACACAAACTGTTGAAAGAATGTGCCAAATGCGGACGGAAGCACAGGGATTGCTGGGATGTGAAGCAATGCATCACAGGGCATTGGTACAGGTCCCAGGTTGCCCTGCGATCCCCTCCGCCTTCCCAGAACTCTTAGTGGCAGAAGAGAGAGAGATGCTCTGTGGGATAGCTGCCCAGAGTGCACCACTCCGAATACTGCTGCAAGCACCGCAAGTGTGAACTTGCTGTTGTGCAGGCAGCTGACAGCATTAACACGCAACAGCAGTTTCCCTTCAGTGCTCTCTGAGCGGCGCTGTAACTCTGCCAGTGTAGACATACCCTTAAAAATAACACATCTTTGACAGTGTATTTGGATCAGTTTCCTTTTCAGTTTAGCCCCTACTCAACTTGTTATGGTTTAACAGATGTTTAAATTTTGTTTGCCTTCCAGAGTTATTTAATTGGTTGGGAAGAATTTCGGAAAACGAAATGGCTGCTGGCTTATATCCTGACACTGGTGGTTTCCCTTATCGACTGGACTGTGTCACTGAGCTTTTCTTGTACAGAGGTAAGAATTGTTGTTACCTCCATCCCTCCCCAAACTATCAGCAGGCTTGTGGCAGGGAGGGAATTACTGCAGGGAAGGCAGTTAGGAGGGCCTGGACTGTGTGGTGCCTAAAAATTTCAGTGCAGGGTGGGGAGTCTTGCTTTTATTGTCTTGTGTTTGCTGCTGGAGTGAGCATAATGAGACATTAGGAAACACCTGCTGTAGCAAAGCTAGTCTTTAGGGACTCTTAATTTGAGTTTCTCAATAAAGGATGTAATGCTTTCTGTAAAATTAAATAAAGCTTTGCCAGTATAAGTAGTCTTTGTGATAATTTGAATGGAATAGAAAAGAATCTGGCCATTAGCAGAAATTTCATTTTGCAGGAGGGAGAGGACAGAATTTTCCATTGGATTTAACTGTGTAGGATTTACGGAGGGTAGCTGCCCATGGCCAGCCCTCCATTTCAAAATGTCGAGATAAATATAGTGCCAAATCTTGCGTTTTCAGAGGGAGTTGCAGTCATTTTAACCATGTGACTTTACAAGAGCAATATGATCAAAAATCTTGTGATATGCTTCTAAACACACATATCCTAATGATAGTAACCTAGCTTTTCACTCATCTTCCTCCACTGTGCAACAGCTCCCCTGGCTGTAAGTCACTCGCACTGAATCATCATCAATCAGTGATTACAAAATATTCAAATGTACAGGAAGAGAATGAGGTTGGAGTTTTGCATTTTGTGTTAATGCAGATTCCTGTGCCAAAGCCATTGTCAAACACGACTCACCCACCCCCAGCAAAGCATGTAAACCTTGCTTCAGGTCATTTGCAGGAGTAGCCAGGGGTTGAATGCAGTTGGCACTGTTAGTGTCAAACTGTTAGCCTCACAATTTTGTAATGCATATTTTAGTGACTAGGATACTGGTGCAGTGGCAAAGAAAGAATTTTTAATGTTGAATGGACATAACAGCTGAACTTGCATATGAAGCAGGAGTGTTCTGCTGTCCCAGCTAGCTTCTTTTTTTATGTTTTACCTGAGAGACAAGGTGGGTGAAGTAATATCTTCTATTGGACCAATTTCTCTTCATGAAAGAGATAAGCTTTTGAGCTACACAGAGCTCTTCTTCAGGTCTGGGAAAGGTAATCAGAATGTCACAGCTAAATACATGATGGAACAGATTGTTTAGCATAAATAGTTTACCCATATTGTAAGAGACCAAGGTGAAGTGCCAGTTAGCTGCAATCATAGGACTAAAAAAGAGGGGATTAGTGGGTTACAGATTGTTATAGTAAACTATAAATCCAATGTGTTTATTAAGTTTGTGATTTCTAGTGTCTAGCAAAGTTATGAATGAAAGCTCTTCTTTTGAAGATGTTGTGCAAGTTTACTTTGAGGATGAGGATTGAGAGTTCAGATATGGAGTAATCGTTCTGTGAAGAGTGTTCACCCGTGGGTGATAGTGTTTTTTGTCCTTTATCATTTTTTGTGTGTGAGTTCTATATCTGACTCATCAAACCCCATCTTCAGAGGAAACTTGCACAACACTTTCAAAAGACAAGCTTGGGAGCTTAAATTCATAACTTTGCTAGACACTAGAAATTAATTTTCCCCCTACTGTTACTCAGCCTTCTTGTCAACTGTTTGAAATGGGCCATCCTGATTATCACTACAAAAAGTTTTTTTCTTCCTGCTGATAATAGCTCACCTTAATTGATTACTCTCGTTAGAGTTGGTATGGCAACCTCCATTTTTTCATGTTCTCTGTATATATATCTTCCTACTGTATTTTCCACTGCATGCATCTGATGAAGTGGGCTTTAGCCCTCAAAAGCTTAGGCTCAAATAAATTTGTTAGTCTCTAAGGTGCCACAAGTGCTCCTCGTTCTTTTAATGGACTTAATAAAGACACTGGAATTATGACTTATTACAACAATCTGTAACCCACTAACAGCCCCCCCCCGTCCCCTCCTGTGACAAGAGGGGTGTTAACGGGTCACTTCATCTTGAATGGACCCTTGAAATACGTGTTAACTACTTATGCTAAACAATCTGTTCCACTTTGTATTTAGCTGTGGCACTCAGGCTTTGTATACACTGGAAAGTGAGAGACAAAACTTTTGTTGTTCAGAGGTGTTAAAAAAATACCACCACCCCGAAAGACAAAAGTTGATGACAAGCGCTGGTGTGAACAACGCTTTGTCGGCAGGAGAGCGCTCTCCTACTGACAAACAGCAGCTACACTGTGCGTCTTTTAGTGGCACAGCTATGTTGCTAAAATCTGCGTAGTGTAGACATAGCCTCGGAGTACGTTTCCCAGACCTGAAGAAGAGCTCTGTGTGTCTCACCAACAGAAGTTGGTCCAATAAAAGATATTACCTCATCCACCTTGTCTTGCTAATATGCTGGTACCAATGCTGCATACTTTTGAAGCAGGTTTAAATACAATAATAATAACAACAAAAAAGGCATCAGACCAAAACCCTGGTTGAGGGAATGAGGTAAATGTCTTGTTTTGTTGCTGCATCAAGTTAATGCAAGTTAGTCTCTATATGGGCTAGCAACTGCTACTAAATCCAAACCATTATTAATATTTAGGCCTGGTCTGTACATAGTTTTTGTACATTTTGTGATTTTTCTACTGAAAGAGTTAAATCTGCACAGTAGTGCTCTATCGTATTATAACCTATTCTCCTCCTTTTATGGGAATGAGCTATACTGGGATAAGCTCCTTTATACCAATATAGCTGCATCCAATCTTCGGTGGTGGTGGGCTTGTACTACTTTCACTATATAGGTATAGTTAAAATGGTATAGTTTTTGTGTATAGAAAAGCTTTTTGGGAAAACCCGATGCACCCTAATGTACAAATCCTGCACCCAACTGTCTGTAAACTAAAGAAAACCGTGTGTGTCTAAAATGGTACGTTTACCTCCATCCCTCATCCTTGTAGTGATCCTGATGATTTTTCAGTGGCCTAAGGAGTCCTTCAGCAAAATCAGAGAAGTAAAGACTTTATATTTCTAACCTAAAAAAGGTCTGTAGGGGAGAGGGGAAGCAGAAGTAAAAGATAAATACAGCATGAAAAGGTACTGTGTTCATATATAATAAAAAAAATCAAACGACAAAACTATTTTCCCTTTTGAGGATCACTTTAAAAAAATTAAAGAATTTGTTTAAAAAAATATTTACATAAAGGCTGATTTAAAAAAAACACTAGATTTTTGTAAGTTGCTTTCCCCTGTGTGCAATACAAGTTGCCTTTTGCTTGCAGAATAAAGCTTTGTAAAATAATATACTTGGTAAGGGTTTGACAACTAATGGTTAGAACAAGGGACTGAGTCAAAAATCCAGGGTAATAGCATGCTCAGCCACTGATTCACTCTGTGTCCTGGAGCAGGTTATGTATTAGCTGCTTTGAAAATTCCACCCTTAACCTTTGTGAGCCTCAGTTTACCTGGCTGTAAAATGAAACGAATGATCAATAGGTGCCTTGCAAGATGATGGAAGACTAATTCATGAGTGTTTGTAAAACAAACTGAGATCCTTGTGTACAAGGGGCTTTAGAAGTACAAAGTATTCTAATCGCCTTCAGTTATTGTCTGAACTTTGGACTGGGTTTAGCTGTTGCATAATAAAAATTCCTTTTATGAAGTGTCATTATTTCTGGAAACCCATCTTTTTCTTCATCTTTTCTGACAAAAATGCCTAAAAAATTAGTGGTGTCTGCTGTGTGAAACTTCGTAGGGCTCAATACCAAATCCACTATTTTATTTTCACAGACTATAAGAATAAGACGAATTCTCCGGCCCTTCTTTCTCCTTCAGAACTCCTCTATGATGAAAAAGACATTAAAATGCATCAACAGCACTCTGCCAGAAATGGCAAGGTAGGTAACAGCACAGTAATTTCCCTCAGATCTGTTGCAGCCTTGTACCTGAACATGCTTTTTAGGTAGTCTCATAATTCTGGGAGTGTGGAGTCTGGACAGGTTCTATGTTGAGAGAGACCAGCTAGGTAAATGATTAGCCACTGAGCGGATGAAAGAAAATCCCTTACAGGAGCAGGCTGTGGCCTACCTATAGCTGGGAAAATTATCTATGCAGTAACTTAAATGTTACCCAAGTGGTGAGGTGAGCTAATTCTGTTCTGTATAGTTTCTCATACTGCGCTTATCAACGTAGTATTTGAGTGCCTTCCAGTAGTGCATTAAGTTATGTGACTAGGGGTTGGTCTACACTACAGAGTTAGGTCGACCTAACTCTGTAGGTGTCTAGACTACAACGTTGCTCCCGCTGATTTAAGTCACCCACTACACCGATCTAATAGCTCTACCTCCGCGAGGGGCGTAGTGCTTAGGTTGATGTAGTTAGGGTGACACAGTGTCTGTGTAGACACTGTGTTACTTACTTTGCCTGTTGGCTATCAGCCCCACACATGGCTTACAGCTGGAGCCCCCTTACCCCAGGGTTAACAGTTCCAGCTGTCAGCCCTGCATGGGGGTCATAGTTGGAACCTTCTACCCTGGCAAGGGTGTGTGTGTGTGCTCCAGCTTTCAGTGCCCCACAATGCCCCACACAGTTAAGTCAATGGAAGCGCTCCCAGTGAAGACATGCACCACTAACAGAGGGGGTGTAGAGTGGACATGAACCATTGCAGTAATTACTGCAGTGGTTGTACGTCGACCCATCTTAGGTCGCCTTAATTTTGTAGTGTAGACAAGGCCTAAATCTGCAACTGTCATGTGTTGTTTGTTTTCTCTTCCTCTTCCTGGGGGAGAGGCATGAGCAGTGGAGTGTTTTGTTTTGGTAGGCTTTTAGGGTTCGTTAGGTTGGTTGCTTGTTTTAAATATGCATGTTACTATGCTTCCCATCACAATGGCCAAAGGTTCTCAAAGTTTCACTTCCTTTCTGGGAGCTTGAGGCCTGGTGATTGTGTACCTTATCCTGAGAGTTGTGGGTATGATCACTTCTCAGTATCAGATCACTTGTCTATTTTAAGTCTTGCCAGCAAGCATGTGGTGCCTATAAAACAAGTAGCAGTAGTGATGATTTGTGCATGTGAATGTGTTTGTCTCTCACACTTTTATATAATACTTGGTACTCATACAGATCTTTTTATACTGAAAGTACTATTGTGACTGGGGTCCTAGTGGGGAGCCAGCTGTGGTCACTCAATTAGAGGGAAATGGAAAGAATGGGACAGACAATCCCCATAAAGCTGGTGGCTATTCCAATACTTAGATTTACCAAGCCAGCATAAAACAGCTTCTTTATTACCTTACGGGTTACTCAGAAGTCCAAACAACACAGTTCCCTTAAAGTGATCCAGCCTCTGGTCTCCATCCAGGTACCCACGTCAAATATAATGAAAATTTCTGTAAATCTTATTTCATCATATAAAAGAAAAGGTTCTACCAATCCCAAAGTACCGGACACATTACCTCCTAGGTTAATGAATGTTTCAGATCTTACCCAAATACATGCTACAGCCAATTCTTATTAACTAAACTAAAATTTACTAAAAAACAAAAGAGAGAGAGTATGGTTAAAAGATCAGTATACATACAGACATGAGTTCAACTCATTGAGGTTCAGATTCACAGCAGAGATGGTGAGCTTTGTAGTTGCAAAGAGTTCCTTTAGAATTCAGTTCATGGGTCATCGTCCAATGTCCAAATCTCATATTCAGGGCGTACCAGCATAACTGGGACCTCAATCTTGCAACTTAAACTTCCCCCGAAGAAGCTTATGGAGATCTGAGATGACAGAATCAGGACCCAAGGATCTTTTATACAATTTCATGTCCTCTTTGACAAGTTGGGAGTTCTTCGGGGAACAAAAGGTAATTAGGATGACTTTGAAGGAGGTCCATCACCAGTACTTAGCTATATGAATTAACATAAGGCCATTTGCTTGTTCCTCCATCATTCACAGTGCTTTTCAAAGAGAGATGAATACCGAGACATCCCATGTTTACAATTCATTTAAATGATATCAGAATACAGCATAGACAGGGACTGTTGATTACATTGTTGACCCTACTCATACATATGTAAATACACAAAAACACAAACATTATCTCCCCACATGTCTTTTGAGGGTTATTTATTTTGCAGGATGTTTAACCTTTTCTAGCCATGCGTCACAACTATGTACATTAATCCTCATAACCCCCTTGCATTAGGGGAATCAGACATCAACTGGTTAAGTGTCTTGTCCAGGACGCCTGAGAGAATCTGTTTCAGAGCTGTGAGTAGAACATAGGGAATTCTATTATGAACTAAACCATTAGGCTATCTTCTCCTTCGATGCATTTATTGCAGGGTGCTTTACTTCAGTATTTTCATTCTTGGGGGAGCATTATCAGTACAGATATTGATTTGTATGTTCTTATTAGAAGCCTTTAACTAGAAAACAAAGTAAGGGGTGCAATCAAACGGCATGATGCTTTTTTAAAGAGACTTGTTCCTGCACATGCGTGTGTATGGTATATAGACTTTGCTATATCCCGTCACATCTCTTTGATTCAGACAGGGCATATTAATCTTAGAATCAAAGATCTATACAAACCCACTAAGACTATATATTTTTGCCAAAGGAGGTCATAAGGCCTAATGCTATAGAAACAATCCTCATAATTCGGTGACAGAAGACTATGACCCTGATTTTGGAAAGCATTTAGATGCATACTTAAGTCCCATTGACTTCAGTCCTGCAGTCAGTTTTGATTAAAGTCAATGACACATGCTTACGGGTCCTGAATTGGGATGCTGTTCCGAATAAGGCCTGTATGATTTGTTTAACTACTTTGCTCTAGCTTTTTTTAAAAACATTGTTTTCGTTTAGGACTGCATCCTCTTGTGTTTTAGCAAAAAACTGATGTCGACATATATATTTTCTCTCCGATAGCGTTGTTCTGCTGCTAGCTGTTCACTTGTGTCTCTTTACCATGTTTGGTATGCTGCTGTTTGCTCGATCAAAGGTAACTAATAATTAACATTTATGCTGTGACAAATCCCAATATTGTTTTCTCTGGCCTGAGTGGCTGTTGCATATGTTGGTTGTATGACTAAGCCAGAGAAACCCGTTCCCCAGCCTTCTTTGCCAGAACTCTTGGGATGGATTTATAATCTCTTACAGGAGGGTTGGTTTTAGAAACTGAATTACAAAATGTACTCAGTCTAATGATTACTGTACTATATATTTAAGAATGCATTGGAAGGTCATTTCCAAACCAGTTTTACAGTCTCTTCTTTCTCCATCTCTAAATGCTATGTCTCCAAAACTGAACTTTGTCTTTATTTCTGAGCTGTGACTACACTAACCTCCCTACTGCATTTTTTTTTATCCCTTTGCCTAGTTCTGTTTATAGCTATCCTGGCTGACATGGTGGTAAAAATGCCAGCAGCCTTATCCATGCAGGAGCTTCCAGTGTTACAGTTGATAAAGTTGTGCTGGTATTAGCACAGGTGAGAATTTTAAAGTAGGAACAGAAAGGCTAGTGTAGTAAAGGCCCTAAAATCACAACATGGAAACAGGGCCGTGTGTGTGTGTGTATATATATATATATATATATAGAGAGAGAGAGACACACAGAGACACAGACAGAGACAGACAGACAGACAGAGACAGACAGACAGACAGACCTACCTACCTATCTGTCTTCCCTCCCATGTCCATAGCCTTTAGGAAGACCTAAATCCTGTATTAACACTTCTACATCTTGCTTGTTTTTAACTGTTCTTTGTTATGTTTTAATGATTGTTAATCAGTCAGATGTCTGCCTGAAGGCGCTACAGCAGCATAACTGATTTGATTGTATTAGAACCTTGCATATAAGTTGCCTACGTTTTCTACACTACTCTCACAGCTCTCTTGGTAGACTTGGCTGTCTGTATTGTATCAAGCAGTGAAAAGTGTTCTTGAGTGATTCTTAACTGATTTTCCCTGGCAAGACAGAGGCTTGTTGACACCTTAGTGTTGCTTTGGTAAAAATATGGATCTCTGTGTCTAGGATAAGCAGCAGGACAAGGAATGGGTGGGATATTTTCACAATTTGCCAGATTCACTGACTTCACTGCTGGTGCTGCTGACTACTGCAAATAACCCTGACGGTGAGCAATCCATTCCAAAGTCATTCTCCTCTCCTCTCTCCTATTAACAATATAAAATAGTTGATGGAATGGATTCCATTGCTCTCCTTAATTTACTGCCTGACCACTATCAAATGATCCTAAATATTCTTACTATTCTTCCGTATAATGGCTCCTTCTGCAGTTAGTGAGGAAACTGCATGGACTGCTCCAAATTTGTGTCCTTTTTAACTCTTTAAAGCCTTTAAAGATTTCTCCAACTTCTGCCCCCATTGAAACAATTTAAACTGTCATAATTTCATTGATTTAAGCTATGACATTTACCCCAGATAATCTGTCCCTTGGTCTCCACCGATACTAGATCAGGATTTTAAGTGTTTGTTTCTTTCAGACACAACGTTACTAACTCCCAGTTGTTTTAAAACTTTTATACAGTGATGATTCCTGCATATTCTAAGAATCGAGCCTATTCTATCTTCTTCATACTCTTCACTGTGTTGGGTAAGTCACCTGTTCTCTTCAGTAACTTCGGGTTTGTACACACTACCACTTATGTTGGTATAACTTATGTCGCTCAGCGGTGTGAATAAGTGACATAAGTTACATTGAGCTAAGTGCTGATATGGACAGCGCTATATCGGCATGAGAACTTCTCCCGCTGACATAGCTAACGTCTCTCGTGGAGGTGATTTTTATTAGAGCTCTCCCATCGGCAAAGAGCATCTTCACCAGACATGCTACAGTGGCACAGCTGCAGCACTTCTAGTGTAGACTAGCCTGTAGAGTGCTAAGTTACTCGTTAATCATTTTACCACACCTTGACAGAGGAACCTTAGAATTGGAGTTTGGAAAAGCTGTTGTTTTAATTTTTTTCTGGGATTTATAACCACAATAGTCTTTCTTTGTGTTTCTTTTTACTTAAACGCTGCAGTTTTATTTACCTCTCTGAAGTATCTTGAAGTATACTTTTCATGAAAGATGTTTACAGCAATTTTACTCATTTTTAGGTAGGTTAGTCCATGACCAGTTGTTAGTTCAAACTTATGTAGAACCATACATACAAACTATTGGCAAATTGTATTAGTTGGGCTGGTGGGGAGGGCAAGAATCAGATATTTGTTGTGAGGAAGCTAATTGTGTTGAATTTTAGATTCACTTTACCAGTTTACTGTGCAACATACACAAACGTTGTAATTTAATTCTTATTTTTTTCTATCAAAGTTTTAAGATGTAAAGTTCTATTCAGTTGAAAAGTCTTCATTAGTTTCTGCATTTACAAATACTTCTGTTTTAAAACCTGACTTCCTGTTATAGCTCTGCTTATTACTTAAGGAATATACTTGAGTGAACTATAGAAATGTTAAGTTTGATTTCTCTCTTAGTGGCTATTGTAAAAGTGTTGTTGTAGGTTCTGTTTTATGAGTTAGCAATATTCGAATTCTATAGGACTGTTATTTCACCAAAAATGACTCTGTCTAGGTCCAAATTATTCATTGTGTGGCTTAGTCAGGCAAACATGACATGATTCAAAGAAAGTGAACTAAATGTCCAGCGGATCTCACTATATGTATTTCTTTTCTTTAAGGAAACTTGTTTCTGATGAACTTGCTGACAGCGATAATATACAATCAGTTTCGAGGATACCTTCTGGTGAGTAAAACATGCCTTTTTTGTGTGCTGATATGTGCTAATCACGCTATTGGTGAGCCATAAACATACAGCTTCTCAAGATAACTCTAAGTCTGAAATGCATGGGAGTGGAGTTTGAAATTACCTTGTATTGTCAAAGCGGCACAACCTCTTTGATTGGGGACACAGTTACAATAGTATAAAGGCGTTTATACTAGTATACCTTCTTCCTGTATGGGAAGTGGAGTAAGCTATAACCCAGTTTAATTGTGTTCTTGCACTAGAATTTGTACTGATTTAACTATTGTAAAAAATCTACACCCCAACCAAAATAGCTATATCAGAACAAAAACTATGTGGCTCAGGCCTAGGTGTATTACTGTTTATGGTACCTAGCACAATAGGTCCCATCTCTCGGTTGGGGCATTTAGGTGCTATTTTAATAGATAAAAATAACAATAATAAAAAAATCACTGTTATATATTCCTCCTGCATGGTACAGCATGTGAAATCCTCAAGTCAGAAGTGGTGACTGGTCCTCGCTACAAATCGTGTTGCTATAACTTCTGCCTGTAAAAAGAACCTTTTCTCTCTGTTTCATTTTTATTTTATGCTTAGACCGTATTGTGGCATGTGCTGTAATTTTTTAAAGTGCAAACCACTGAACTTGCTGCAGAACTTGAGTTCTGTGGAAGTGACTAGCCAGTAAATTAGAAGGAGACATTACTTTGGCTTGTTGCTGAATCTTCATTCCCCCTTTGCTACCATTTATTCATTTGGGTGGGGGAGGTGTTAAAGCAAGTTACTGCCTGAGCTGCAGATATATCCATGGATACTTAAATTCAAATAAAAGGAGTCTATGACATATAAAGAATCAGTTGTACACTTTAACTCCTCTGCCCCATAGTACCTGAGTACCTTTCAGTAGTGCATTAAGCAACGTGGGGATTGTTCTCTCTTATCCTCTCCTCTAGGAGAGAGTTGTGTGTTCAGTGTAGTGCTTTGTTTTGGTTTGCTTTAAAATGTACATGCTGCTCAGTGTTTATATTGGAGAAGGCAGGTCAAAGAAACATGCCTTGCCCATGGAGCAGGAGATAGTGAGACTTGTAATGGTCCTTAGCTCCTGGGGGAGTTCGTTGCACAGTCTTGGACTGACCGCTGAGCATGCTTTGTCTCCTGCCCAGATGAGCTTTACCTTATGTGTGTCACTGTTGCCCTCCAGTGGAGGTGAGCTTGGATCGCTTCAGCAGGAAGTGCTATGAGTGCTACTTCAGAAATGAAAAATCCTGAAACGGTGGATACAGGAAGAGGTTAACACTATAAAGGAATGAATCCCACAGCATTTGACATGTTAGTGTCCCTGATTTTTGAGTCTCTTGCACATTGTACCACATCTGGTCCTTGGTAGGCTGAGAGAGAGCTAAGGGTAAGAGTGAGTCTGTGAGAGGAATTGGGAAAGGCTCTCCCTCAAACAGGATTGTACATGGGTTTTTACACTCATTGCCTTTCCAGCTGAATAACTTTCAACAGTAAGTGAGGATGCCTGATTTGCAATGTAGGTAGTCTTGGGACTGTTCAACACTGGTGACATTGGAGAGAGAAGTTCTTACCTTATCTTAAAACTAGGGCTGTCAAGCGATTAAAAAAATTAATCGCGATTAATCGCACCGTTAATAATAGAATACCATTAATTTAAATATTTTTGGATGTTTTCTACATTTTCAAATATATTGATTTCAATTACAACACAATACAAAGTATACAGTGCTCATTTTATATTTATTTTTATTACAAGTACTTGTACTGTAAAAAAAATTCACCTAATACAAGTACTGTGGTGCAGTCATGAAAGTTGAACTTACAAATGTAGAATTATGTACAAAAAACCTGCATTCAAGAATAAAACAATGTAACACTTCAGAGCCTGCAAGTCCACTCAGTCCTACTTCTTGTTTAGCCAATCACTCAGACAAACAAGTTTTGTTTACATTTGCAGGAGACAATGGTGCCTACTTCTTCTTTACAATGTCATCTGATGTTGCAAGATTTTTACGTGTCAGATGCACTAAAGATTCATATGTCCCTTCATGCTTCAACCACCATTCCAGGGGACATGCATCCATGCTGATGATGGGTTGTGCGCGATGACAGTCCAAAACAGTGTGGACCGACGCATGTTGATTTTCATTATCTGAGTCAGATGCCACCAGCAGAAAGTTGATTTTCTTTTTTGGTGGTTCGGGTTCTGTAGTTTCTGCATCAAAATGTTGCTCTTTTATGACTTCTGAAAGCATGCTCCACACCTCATCCTGCTGAGATTTTGGAAGGCACTTCAGATTCTTAAACCTTGGGTCAAGTGCTGTAGCTATTTTTAGAAATCTCACATTGGTACCTTCTTTGCATTTTGTGAAATCTGAAGTGAAAGTGTTCTTAAAATGAACAGCACATGCTGGGTCATCATCTGAGACTGCTGTAACATGAAATATATGGCAGGATGTGGATAAAACCGAGCAGGGGACATACAATTCTCCCCCAAGGAGTTCAGTCACAAATTTAATTAACGCGTTATTTTTTTTTTTAACGGTCGTAATCAGCATGGAAGCATGTCCTCTGGAATGGTACCCAAAATATGAAGGGGTATACGAATCTTTATCATATCTGGCACATAAGTACCTTGCAGTGCCAGCTACAGAAGTGCCATGCAAATATGCCTGTTCTCACTTTCTGATGACTTCGTAAGTAAGAAGAGGGCAGCATTATCTCCTGTAAATGTAAACAAACTTGTTTGTTTTAGTGATTGGCTGAATAAGAGGTAGGACTTAGTGGACTTGTAGGCTCTGAAGTTTTACATTGTTTTGTTTTTGAGTGCAGTTATGTAACAAAAAAAAATTTACATTTGTAAGTTCTTTCGTGACAGAGATTGCACTACAGTACTCATATGAGGTGAATTGAAAAATATTATTCCTTTTATCATTTTTACAGTGAAAATATTTGTAATAAAAAATAATACACACTTTGATTTCAGGTGCAACACAGAATACAATATATATTAAAATGTAGAAAAGCATCCAAAATCTTTAATAAATTTCAATTGGCATTCTATTATTTAACAGTGCGATTTAAAACTGCGATGAATCGCAATTAATTTTTTTGAGTTAATCGCGTGAGTTAGCTGCGATTAATCTACAGCCCTATTTAAAACTGCTACCACCACCTTCTTGAGCATAGATCTTGGAAGATGGGTTTTCCAGTGTCTCTGAATTAACCTGGGTTCTTGCTTTCGTTACCATAGAAGAGCTTTTCCTGGGACTGATTTATTGTATTTTGATGTATATTACTCTTTTAGGGGGAAAGAGGCTGCCAATTCTAGGCCATTAATTAAGAATACTCTAAGTGGGCACTGTGGGGTTGAGGAGAAGGAAGAATGAATAAGAAATCACAGGCTGGAAGTGACTAAGATCAGTTCTTGGAATCTCCCACAGCATTCATTCTGCTTCCTCTTTCCCCTACCCACCCTCTCAGTTATTTTTCTTTATAACTGCAGGAGGAGCTCCCATGTAAGGTGAGTGCCTCTTTATATGAGGGGTTGAGTGGGCCATTGTATTGCCCATGCTTCCTCGATATTTCTTCCTCAGATCATGATCGCTCCTCCCATAGGCACAATCCTATAATTTAGACATAGCCCTGCTGAATTCTTCCTGGAGCTCAGAAGTGCACAGTGGGAATGTTTCTGCTTCTTTGCCCCTTGTGGAGTGCAGTATACTCCCTGCGATACCCCGCTCACTCCAGGAACTTGTACAGAGGGGATATTGCTCCCAGGCTCCCACACCCCTTTGGAGGCAATGTGCGCTCTTTGGGGTGCAATCTTGGACTTTCCGTGTGGGAAGGGGGTCTGTGAATGTGACAGATACAAAAAGTGGGGAAATACCATGCATATTCCTTTCCTGCTCACCACTCCCCACCTGTCGCAGTTTGGCCTGCAGAAAGATAGTGGAGAGATGCACGCACTGACCGTGATGGTCACTCGTATGAAAAAGTCTTATGTAAAAAAGTACAGATAAGACAAAAATGGCTGGGGGCCTGCTTTTTGTGGGATCTTAACTGACCCTGCTCTTCTACATGGATGGTGGTGCACATTTATGCTTTTGGATACTCTAATACCACTCATCACCTGCACATTCTGGGGTTAGTTCCTCCAAAAGTGTGCTCACACTAATGGAGGCCAGGGCTTGAAAATCAGGCCCTGGATTTTTATGTGAACTCAGACGGTCCCCCATTTTCTCTCCCTTTTACTTTTACTGCCCTATCCCAAGGAAGAGGGGGTAGGAAATTTCCAAAACCATCCATGATTTCTGGGGATGGCAGAAGGCCAGTGTGTTTTCTGGCCAGAGGTCTTGGTCCTGTAGGGAGATTGGGTGGCATTCTTCTCCTCTGTACCCTGTCTTCTTGCTCTCTCCTAGCAATAGCAGGACTCGTATGTCGTCTTACTCTCTCCTAACAATATGTCTTCTCTTGGACTCCACTGATCTCAGCCTCTGAAACTTTTTAAAGTTACTCTTTCAACTGCAGAGCAAATATACAGTTGGACCCTGTAGATAGACTGCTGGTGGCTAGTGGTGGGGGAATTGGCAGAGAGTGGGTGACCTGCCCTTCCTGAAACCCTTAACTGAACTGAAATGGCTCTTGTTGAGGCTTGCAGTTTGCTTTGGTTTGATATGGGCTATGACTCAGGCCACTCTTCACTTCAGCTACATAGTTGCCTCTGTAATAGCTACTGAAAGGTAACTTCTCTCCTCTGTGTTGTTTTCACTGTATAGAAATCGGTTCAGTCCTCGCTCTTGAGGAGACGTTTAGGAATCCGGGCTGCATTCGAAGTCCTGTGCTCCCTGAAAGAGTGTCCTGTCAGTACAAATGAGTAAGTGAAGAATGCCACAGTGGATGTTGCTGTCAGGGAAGAGAGCAATATTTTTCCTCCAGTTGTGTCTGTTACTGCTCCATCTGTTTATTTAATGGGTTGTTTTTCCTGCTGCCTCCTCTCCTGCCCCCTATTATATTATAGCCATATCATTTAAACACAGTTCTGAGGCTCTCATTTGTGTCTGTATTACAGGTGGGGGAGGATGGAAGCTGGTTCTTGCTTTCACACCTAATCTTCCATATCTGTTGTAATTGCTTTAACAAATAAGCACTGGGCTGGAGTTAAGAGCAGCAGTTTGATGGTGCCTTCATGAGAGGCAGGAGAGACAGATTATGTTTCAGGATGTCTGTCAGAGTTAATTGTCTTTTTTTTTTTTTAATTTTATTTTTAAACAGATTGTGTGTCAATGCTAATACCTTACTACAAGTGCTTCAAAAAGTTGAAATGGATTTTTGCTGCAAGCAAGCCATCTTGAGGGTAGGAATCTGATTTTGTTTGATTACATTCATGTCTGTGCTTGTTAAAGATTCTGGCCTGATAGCCCTGGAGACTGAAGTCTTCTGTTTAACCACAGAGCAGGTCTGAGAATGGTCACATCAACAGAAGCTTCTTCCCACTGCCCTGCCAATATCGGAATCCCCTCTGAGTGTGAGAGCAGAGGTCAGGTCAGGCTGCAAGACCATTTATTTCTTGGCCTTCTTGCTGAAACTCTGAATGGTGTTGTGGAAACGGTCCAGCCTGCTCTCAGCTGGTCTTGGACCACCAGACTCATTTCTCTAATAGGTTAGTGAGCAGCTGTCTGATAAAAACAACTTTTGGTCACTACTGGCAAACTCTATTTGAACCAGTGACTGAGGGTAGAAGGTGTCATTTCTCATTATATCCCCCCAGAGCCATTCAGTCACTTCTTAGTATTGGTCTATTTTGTTTTCATTAAACATTTTTGTTGCAAATTCTTTTTTTAAAACCCTGTCTTATAATATCAGTTTTTTAGGATTTTATAATGGAAAAGGGCAGCTGTGTAAAAATGGTAACTAGACCAGTTGAGCAGATGATTCTCAGTGTAATGTGGCTCTCAAATCTTCTCTGAAGCCATGACCAGATGTTAGGGTTACTGCAGCGGGGTGGCTACACTGCTCCTAAAACAGAAGGGGTTAAAAGCAGCCCTGGAGAGGGCTGTGGCTGGGGATGGCTGATTGGGGAAGCAGCTGGGCCACGCCCCAGTCAGGCCCGAGCTGGCCAGTATAAAAAGGCTGTGAGCCAGAGGCCCAAGGAGTCTCTCTCCAGTCTGGGAGAGAGCAGGGCCTGGCTGCTGCCTGACAGGATACTGAGGGTGGTGCAGTGCTGGGGAAGGAGAAGGCTGAGCAGGGATGCTCCAGGCTGGCAACTCCCCAGGCTGTAGGGCCTGGTCCAAGGCCCATAGAGGTACTGGGAGTTAGAGGAAGGCAACAGGTCTGAACTCCCTTTCCTATGATGAGTGGTCTTTACACTGCAGTCTGCCCCAGGAAGCGGGGGCTTGGTGATGACTGGCAGTAGCCCAGACTGAGGCAAGGTAGGGATAGTGGGTTGGGGGTTCCCCAGGAAGGGGAGACCCAGAGGCAGAGTGTGGGGGTACTGCCAGGTGGCAGAACCCCAGAGAAAGGGGCACCAGGGTCTGTGAGGGACACGGGGGCCAGAGCTGTGCAGATCACCGGCCTGCAGAGGGCGCTCCAGTCTGGAAAAGAGCTAATTCCCAAGGACGACCAGCAGGAGGTGCCGCAGGGGTGAGTCCGCTCCTTTACAGTTACGCACTCTTCAGCATAGTGGGCAGGGAGGGAGGAGTTAGTGTTGTGTCTCCCATGTGAAGGGACAGAGAAAGCAAAGGTCAGTGAAAGATAATGATGGGTCAGTGAAAGTAATGACACTGTCCTAGTGTCAGACTTGCTCATTTGAATGCCTCAAAGCACATTTTAGCTCTAGGAGAAGAGCAAACCTAGATGTGCTAGAACATGGCTTTCTACAGTATTTTCTTCTAGCATTTGAAATGCCCTAAGGAGAACCAGGGCTAAACTATAGGTGATAGCATGCCCATAGTTAGCTCCTTTTTGGCATTAGTAAGGCTTGTTGGAGGCTTAAGTTTAAGCAATGAAGTTGAAAATCTACTCTGTAAAGGCCTGACTTCTGTCACAGTTCAAACGCCATTTTTTAAGAGTGGAAGACGTAAACTCTGATCCAGTGATGGTCTTAACAAACCAGCAGTGCATGTATTCTGTCACAGGCATTGTCACAACATCCTTAACAATGTTACCTGGTAATGCTTTTGTGACTGGGTGCCTGGATGGGCCATGCTGAGAATGGGCAGACTGCAAGGAATAGGGCAGACAATCCCCAGAACTGGTGGTTTATTCTATAATTAGATTCACCAAGCCAGTAACAAAACAGTTTCTGTAACACCACATTGGTTAACAAGAAGCTGTATACAGTCCCCTTTAAGAAGTCCAGCCCTTGGTCCCCATTTAGACAGGCAAGTCTAATATAGTGAGGGTTTACTGAAAGCCTGATTCGCCCTATGTGATGTTCACCAATCCCAAAGGACGGGACACTTATCCCCAGGTCAGTATGAGTCTCAGATCTTATCCAGTATTCACGCAAATGCCAGTCCTTTAGTAACTAAAAGACTAAAGGTTTAAAAATAAAAGGAAAAAGAAAGAAGAGAGTTGCAGTGGTTAAAAGATCAATATACATACAGATATATGTAAAGTCCTTAGGTCAGTTTCATACCAGAGATGGTGAGGCTGCTGAGTTGTAAAAGTCTTTCTGGAATCAATTTAGAGGGTTATAGTCCAATAGGCAGTCCAGGAATAGTCTGTTCAAGTTCTTCCATGAGAATTCCAGGGTAAACCTGGAGACCCTCAGTCTTATGGCTGAGACCAAGGATCTCAAACACGCGGCCTGTGGGCCGCATCCACCCCTCTGCCTACCTCCAGGCCAGGGGTGGGCAAACTACAGCCCATGGGCCGGATCTGGCTGGTGGGATTGCCCCCCGTGGCGCCACGAGCCCCGCGCCGCTCCCTGAAGTGGCCAGAACCATGTCCCTGCGGACCCTGTCGGGGGGCGGGAGGGGCAGAGGGCTCTCTGTGTGTTGCTGTTGCTTCCAGGCACCCCCCCCCATCTCCCATTGGTCAGGAACAGGGAACTGCGGCCAATGGGAGCTTCGGGGGAGGTACCTGGAGGAGCGGCAAGAGCAGCACATGGAGCTTCTCCCCCCACCCCCAGGGATGTGGTTCTGGCCGCTTCCTGGAGCGGAGCAGAGTGGAGCTGGGCCAGGGCAGGAAGGGAACCTTCCCTGGCTCCGGTGTGCACCGCTGCCACCCTGGAGCCGCTCTCGGTAAGTGGCGCCAGGCCGGAGCCTGCACCCTGAACCCCTTCTGCACCCTCTACTCCAACTCCCTGCCCTGAGCCCCCTGCTGCACCCTGCACACCTCCTGTACTCCCTGCCCTGAGCGCCCTGCTGCACCCTGCACACCTCTTGTACTCCCTGCCCTGAGCCCCCTGCCGCACCCCTCACTCCTCCTGCATCTCACATCCCAACTCCCTGCCCTTAGCCCCTGCCATACCCTGCACACCACCTGCACCCCCTGGGGGCAGGTAGGGGGCAGAGTTGGGGTGGGGACTTTAGGGAAGAGGTTGAAAAAGGGGGACAGGAAGGGGTGGGAAGAGGCAGGGCAGGGGCGGGGCCTCATAGAAGGGGTGGAGTGGGGGCGGGGCTGGGGTCAGCGGGGGTGGGGTGTCAGTGATGTGGCCCTCAGGCCAATGCACTAGTCCTCATGTGGCCCTTGTGGTCATTTGAGTTTGAGACCCTTGGCTTAGACCTTCCATGTTGAAGTTTTAAGCAGATCTGAGATGGCAGGCGAGCCTCTCGTCACAGCAAGACCTCCCAAGATAGACTAGGCAGTGCAGATTGTTGCTTTGTAGCTAATCTTCTATTCCATAGGCATACACAGGTAAACTAGTTACATATTTCATTCAATTAAGGCAATTAGCTGGTACTTCATCATAGCATAGATAATTCAGTTGAAGACAATATAGATAATATTATTAGTTTCCTGCAGTATAGTAAAACCTTAGTGTTATGAACTCCAGAGTTATGAACTGACAGGTCAGCCACAGGCCTCATTTGGAACTAGAGTTACGCAATCAGGCAGCAGTAGAGACCAAAAAAAAAAAGTAAATACAGTACAGTATTGTGTTACACGTAAACTACTAAACAAATAAAGGGAAAGTTTAAAAAAAAAAAAAAGATTTGACAAGGTAAGGAAACTCTTTCTGTGCTTGTTTCATTTAAATTAGGATGGTTAAAAGCAGCATTTTTCTTTTGCATAGTTAAAAGATATATAGCATAGTTAATCTGCTGTATCTTACATCTTTGATCTTAAGGTTAAACTAAACCATCCACATGCATAATATAAAGCAAGTAAGACATGAAAGGGAAGTAGCCTCTACAAGCTAATCTGGTGACTTTGTTAAATTTCTTACAATATATAGATAAACAAGTACACTTAGCATCTACCCTTGATTCCCATTACTACAAATGAATGGGCTAATGATTGCCGGTTTAGTACATCTCTTTGAAATTCACATACAAGTAGATTGTCTTGATAACAGTTTAACAAGAGGCATTGAAATGTAATGGGTCATACCAAGTTGGCTTTTCTGTCAGTGTCACAGCCTTTTCTAGGGACACACTCTTGCAACAGGTATTGCATGTGACATCTTAGGAAAGTACGTTGTATATGAACATATGTGTATTAAACTCTACATAAAACCAAATTAAAGACTCTTGAAGTAGGTTTAGTTAAAGAGCAGCAGGAGCCAGATGGCACAATGAAATGAAATGGAGGTTGTTTTAAAAAAAAAAGTATATATATTTTGTTTCCCTTGGTTGTCCATTCTAGTCTCAGTTACTCAGAGCAGGAGTACGTGGGGGAATATAGAACAGAAGGTATCCATAGTCAACCAACTCATTCAAATGGGAGGTCAGCATCAAAGTCAATCACACTATTGGTTAAGTGTTTTAGACACCTGTGTTTTGAAAGTTCAGAGTTGAAGGCAGTGGTTCTCAACCTGTTTACCATTGCGGGCTGCATATGCAGCTCTCTGTGTGTTATGTGGGATGCATCCAAACAATATATACTCTACCTGTATGGCCCTGAGGATGTCACATGGGCTGCACAGCTGTGTGCTGGTTGGGTCGCAAGCAGGTTGCAGGTTGAGAACTACTGGTCTAAGGCTATGTCTATACTAGAGAGCTTACAGCGGCACAGCTGTACCAGTGTAGCTGCACCACTGTAAGATCTCTAGTGTAGCCGCTCTACGCCAAAGGGAGAGAGCTCTCCTGTTGTCATAATTAATTCACCCCTCAGTGGGGGGCCCCTCCCTACCCCTTCTGTCTGCGGCTCCACTCCTCTTCTGCCTGTGGCCCCGCCAATAGCCCCACCCCTTCTGCCCTCCTCACTGCAGTCCCGCAACCCCTTTTGCTCCTTTCTCCCCCCCACCCTCCCGCCCCCCCGCCCTGTGGCCCCAAGACCAGAGAAGCTCTGTCCTCATGCCATGGCATGGGGACTGCAGCAGGGAATGAGAGCTCCTCCAGTCTCAGGGCCGCAGCGGGGGTCTGGGTGCTGGGGCTTCTTCTGCCACCCCCACACCTCCCCGCGCTTCTGCAGGGGACCAGGGTCGGGGTGCTAGGGCTTCTCCTTCCTGCCCGCCCGGCACTACTGCTGGAGAGCAGGTTGGGCATGGGGGCTTGCCCTACTGCCCTGCAGCTTCTGACAGGGATGGGGGGGGAGACGCTGGGGGGCGGGGACTTCTCCCACTGCCCTGCAGCGTCTGCCGGGGACTGGGTCAGGGGCTGCTGGGGTGGGGAGATTCCAACATCTTGGGGCTTCTGTCAGGGACCAGGTTGGAGGCCAATGGGGGCAGGAGGAGGCTTCCCCCATCCTGTGGCTGCTTCCAGGGACGGGGTTGGGGGCCGCTGGAGTGGAGATTTCTCCATCTCGTAGCTGCTGCTGTGGAGCGGGGTTGCGCTTGGGAGCTTCCTCTTCCCCACCTACTTGGTGGCCAGAGCCCCTGGGCATGGGCGCAGTGGCTAATCCACCACTGCTCCTAATCCAGTGCCTTGCCTACTGTAGCCTGCTGCCTCCCTGAGTACTGATATAGTCTTCAGGCATCTGCCCTCCCTGCAGATCTATTAAACACAGATGTTGATTTGTGTTTCTCTTGTATGTAAAGACAGTTCGGTCATGCCCTCATGGCATACTGTCAGCTGCCCTGTTTCAGAAACTCTTTGATGAACTCGACAAAGATCCTGTTAAACAGGTATGTGCATGACCATTATTTATATAGCACTGTTAATCTGTGCAGTTCTGCAGAACAGTAAATAGCAAGCTTTGGCTATGAAGACATGAAATTGAGCAGACAGTACATATATATGGAGCGGTGAAGAGTCATCGATTACATGGTGTGTTCACTGTGTTATTCGTAAATGGTTTTTATAGTGGCAGATTCCATTGATTTTCAGTCAGATGGCCACTTTTAAAACATTAAATGCATCCCCCCCCAAAAAACATATCCAAATAAAAGCCAAACAAAAATGTTTGTAATACTTCTTATCTTTGGAATTCTTAAGTGATTCGACTAAGCAAAATGGGTGTAAATTTTCCTATATTAGAAGATATGATTAGTAATAAGCAAATGGAAGATGAGTTGGAGAGAGACTTTGCATTTCCAGCACTTATAAGAGAGAACAGCTAACTTACAAACAAACTTTTGGGGAAATGTAAACTACCACGTATAAACTTTATGTTTAAGTGACTGGACAGTGCTAGAAGAATTAAACCATTTCACATTTTAAAAAAATAATCTGTCAGTAGCATTACATCAAAGAGCATTTATTCAGTCTCCTCAGCAGTTGGTCTCTAGACCAATAAATACACTAGAAAGGAACAATACTGCAAATTTATAATTATTGTTTCCAGGGAGGATTAACAAGAAGATGAGCAAATGGTGCACCATTTTTGATCATTAGAAATACGTAGGGGAACTAACAAAAAACACACATGGTAAATAGGTTTGTGATGAAATGTGTGAGGCATTTAAAAGGTTTTACCACCATGACAGAGTCCCATTTTAAGGCAATTCATTGTCCCCATATGTTTATCTTTTGGAGGACGATGTCAAAGCCTTCTTCAATAGAAGTCTTGCCTCCCAATTCTTGAATGAAGTCAAAGTTTTACTGGGCTGCCAGTGAAACATACAGTCTTAAAGCTTGTCTGCACCCAGCTGCATTGATTTTAACTTAAACTGGTTTCAAAAACTCATTATAAACTCTGGTGCAAACCCTTGTCTGGACACTCGTATTTCGGTTTAAGGTGAGCTTACTTTGGTTTAGATTAAACAGATTCCTAATCAACATAAAGTAAATCAAAACAAACTTTTCCTAAACCAAAATAACAGCATACACATGGTTTTTGGCACCAATATGACTGAACTGGTTTAAAAAATCACATCTTTAGTTAAACTGATACAACTTTATGTATAGACTGGGTTTTAGGAACAAATTCAGTCCTGCCATAAATGTATGCAATGTCTCTGAAATTTGAGCTCAGTGGAGTTTTGCTCCCTGCTTACACTGGGGCTGAGTTTATACTTTATTTTTCTCTTAAATTGGGCCTTTCTCCCTACTCCTTCTAACAAAGGATTTAGACTCTGAATCTCAAAAATGACTGTTCTTCTCTTTTCAGCATCCTCCCACACCAGAGTACCAGTCTCCTTTTCTGCAGAAAGTGCAGTTTGCTTTTGGCCATCACTTCTTTGGCTACTTAGGGAATGTTGTAGCACTAGCAAACATTGTTTCTATCTGTGTAAGTATTGATTTTTGCATCAGAAACAGAACAGGATTTAGTTTTGTACATTACTCTGCATTCCTACCACCACGTTGTGTAGAGGTCTCTATTATGCATTGTTTAATCTTGCCCAGAATATTTAAAACTAAGGAATAATTTCTCTGTTTGGAAAGGAGTCTGCAGAGTATAATAATAACTAGCTCTTGCATAGTACTTCTAATTAGTAGATCTCAAAGTGCTTTACAAAGGAGATCAATATCATTGCCCCCATTTTACAGATGGAGAAGCTGAGGCACAGAGACGTGAATAAGCAATTGTATTTTTTTTCCCTAGTGTTTAAAGTGCCCTACTATCTCAGGGCCAGGGCGGGGAGCTAGTCTTGATTTGATGTGGTGCATTTTTGCTCTCTAGGGTACAGCAGCCAACTGTTGATTCACCAGAGGTTTTTTGTTTTTCCAGGTCATCTTGGTAATGGATGCAGATAAGCAGCTTTCTGAACGGGATGACTACTTCTTGGGGGTAAGAAGTATCAATGTCTTATGTGGTTGCTGTTGCTTCTCAAAGCTTAATTCTAAGGATGGTCTTCATTTTACACCTTTTAGGCTATAAATTGTTTTTTTATCCTGTACTATCTGCTGGAAATGCTGCTGAAAATACTGGCAATGGGATTTAAAAGATACATATCGTACCCAAGCAATAGATTTGATGGATTTCTGACTGTTATTCTGCTGGTAAGTTCCTGGGTAACTTCCACTAAGTTCTTGAAAGTGAGTTTCTAGGATGACCCAGCTCTAATGTCAACATTATTTGGTTGAGTCAGAGAGATAATGATTTATACAGTTTTGGCATATGTGAGAAACTGATCAATACATTTTCATATTGAAATTAAATTTTTGTCTTGATCCTTGTCCGCTAAAGGTTCTGCATTGTTCTGAGATACAACATTGTGGAAGCATTTTTCACTACTACTGGTTGGCATGTAGCTTTCACTAGGTCAAAAATTTACCCTTCAGTGATGAGATCTACATATTTATATACACTCAAACCATATTGATATTCCAGGATATCAATAGATATATTTTACCGCTCATTTTGGATAGATATTTGGAGTTGTGAGCTTCTCCATATGCAGTCTCCTCCGTGTTAAATCTGAAAAGCTCAAGTCTCTCAAACAAAAATAACAATGAGAGGAGGTATTGCATTTTACATAATCTGTAATAACCTTACCATTTGGGTGGGGAGTAGCAGACTAATCATTCTTATAGTTATTTGATGAAAGAAGGGAATTCGCTGGACATTTGAGACCAGATTCAAGCCTTGTGTAATACGAGGATTTACACTTTCTTAGACCAGATCTAAATTTGGTATTCTGTACCCACTTAAGAGCCACCTTTTGCTTTTTGCCCAGCTAGCAAAGTATGTTTGTTTAGATAGTTTTTGCCCAAGAGGCCAACAGGTTGGTGTTTAAACTTCTGGCTTTAAAACAAGAAGCCTTTTCCAGTTTAATGTGGGGGGAGGAGAATTGTTCATGCACACTGGATTTAAATGGAGAACATTTTTCAGTTGCCCTTTGTAATCACCCAGACTGGGGAGCTGAGGGGCATAAATTCCATTTAAATACAATAGAATGTGGGCACCTTTCTTAGGCACCTCTGAAAACCTCCAATTCTCAATACTCTATAAGATCTCTTAGTAGAACAGTAGTAAAAGCCTTGTTTTGTTTATATTTTCAAAGTTGTTTCACAAATGGTATTCTCAAAGATTAGGTGAAAAATTCTAATTTATTCTAAATTCTAAAACTTGCTATTTCAACTTGGATTCCATAGAATTAGTTTCTCTGAATCTATTATTGCAGCTCTGAAACTGCTGGTCTGTCTGCTGCTAGGTCCTATGCCTAAACAAAATCCCTGCATGCACTTTAACTTATTTCTGTACAAGAAGTAAGGTTTACTTCCCACCACTGGACTTGGGTGGGGAGGCAGGAGTAATTTTGTGATCTGCTAGCTGAAACTGACAATTACCTAGCTTTATAGCAAGTCAAATTACTGACTAAAACTGCTGTCACTGTCCATTTGGAAGAAGTTTGAGGGTTTTTTTTGAGTTTTTTTTTGAGGTCAAAGTTCTTGAGACTTTAATTCACAAAACAAACATCAGAGTTGCTGCAGTTTTGCTTCTTTTCTTTTGTAATAAAAGGTTTTGGAGGTCTCAACTTTTGCTGTGTATGGATTTCCTCATCCAGGCTGGTATGTATTCTTCATAAGCATTTATAGCTCTTCTGAAAATTGTAGCATAAGGTGTTGGGACTTAAAAGATCCTGGTCAAAAATTGCATGGCTCACATGTACTCTCATTGGTACAGTATCCAGGGACAACTATTTATAAACATGATACACATTAGGTATTTGTGTACATATGGCTGCTTAACTTGCCAGACCTACTAAAAAAAACCCCAAAACAACGCTACCTAGCATAAGGTGCCAAACCTGTTAAAAGCAACTTCAATAATTCACTTCTGCAGTCACTAGAGGTCAGGCAATACAGAGAATTGGGAGAATACTGTTCTGTTAGATCTCTGACAGAATTTAAAAAAGCTATTCTGCTGTTCTGATAGAAGGATGAATATATGTACCTTGAGGGCTGGCTTAGAATGAAAGCAGAGTAGATTTGGAGAAATAGCTTGTGTCCCTTTTTAGTGCTTTTCTAAAAAGTGTATGAAATGAAATTTAATGTAGTGCAAACATTAACTGGTGCTAACCTTGTTCTGTTTCTGTAACAGGCTACAGTTAAACCTAACTGTGTAGACTCTTATCACAACTTTCACTGTAGCTTTAAGTTGGACTTTTGTTGTAGAAATAAGTTGATGTAGATACAGAATTTCTCTTATCTCTCATCTGTTGGAGTAAAAGATTTTTAAAATATATGCACACAGTAACCAAGCAGTGGTGTAATTACTGCTCTTTGCTTCTCATGGCTCATGAGCTAAGACTGTTCAGTGACTCTTTTCGCTTAAGTAGAAGAAAAAAATCATAGATGCTCCTTTAAAAATTGCATGCTACTGCAGCTGACTCTTGCTTTAAACAGTCATACTTGTGATCTGCTTCCACTTACTTTTGGAAAAATAGTCTGTCCCCATCTTATTGTGACAGTCATTTTTAATGGACTCCGGCACTTACTTACTTCCCTCTGAGTTGAAGGGCCAACTTTTAAAAGAAATTTTCATATGAATTTTATCCCACTTTAGTGTAGGTATTTTCAGAGTCTTATTTCGTATAGCAGTCTTTGAGTGGCATTAGGTAACTGGTAATTAGCTGTCAGAGCTAGAAAAACTGTTTGGTTTGGAATGCCTTTCAAATGACATATCGGAGTTAAACGTGATGATTGAATAAACTCTGTCAGAAGAATATTAATAGCTGTGAACAGGCTATGTACAGTGGCTTCTCTGAATTTAATGGAGTACTTGTGGCACCTTAGAGACTAACCAATTTATTTGAGCATGGTGAGGGAGTGAGAGAACCTGGATTTGTGCTGGAAATGACCCACCTTGATTATCATACACATTGTGAAGAGAGTGGTCACTTTGGATGGGCTATTACCAGCAGGAGAGTGAGTTTGTGTGTGTGTGTGGGGGGGGGGGGGGGCGGAGGGTGAGAGAACCTGGATTTGTGCTAGAAATGGCCCAACTTGATTATCACTTTAGATAAGCTATTACCAGCAGGACAGTGGGGTGGGAGGGGGTATTGTTTCATGGTCTCTGTGTGTATATAATGTCTTCTGCAGTTTCCACGGTATGCATCCGATGAAGTGAGCTGTAGCTCACTAAAGCTCATGCTCAAATAAATTGGTTAGTCTCTAAGGTGCCACAAGTACTCCTTTTCTTTTTGCAAAGACAGACTAACACGGCTGTTACTCTGAAATCTGAATTTAATGAATTTCCCACACAAATGCATGTGATAAATTTGGGCTTAATTTTGCCCCTTGATTTGTGAATGCACATCATTGTTATTTGTAGGGCTGTCAATTAATTGCAGTTAACTCACGTGATTAACTCAAAAAAATTAATCGTGATAAAAAAAATGTATCGCGATTAATCACAGGTTTAATCGCACTGGTAAACCATAGATTACCAGTTGAAATTTATTAAATATTTTGGATATTTTTCTACATTTTCATGTGTATTATATTCTGTGTTGTAATTGAAATCAAAGTGTATATTTTTATTATAAATATTTGCACTGTAAAAATGATAAACAAAAGAAATAGTATTTTTTAATTCACCTCATACAAGTACTGTAGTGTAATCTCTGTCGTGAAAGGGCAACTTACAAATGTAGATAGGTATTTTTTGTTACATAACTGCACTCAAAACCAAAACAATATAAAACTCTAGAGCCTACAAGTCCACTCAGTCCTACTTCTTGTTCAGCCAGTCACTAAGATAAGCATGTTTGTTTACATTTACAGGAGATGCTGCTGCCCTCTTCTTATTTACTTCACCAGAAAGTGAAAACAGGCATTTGCATGGCACTTTTGTGGTCAGCATTGCAAGGTATTTACGGGCCAGATATGCTAAACATTCGTATGCCCCTTCATGCTTCGGCCACCATTCCAGAGGACATGCTTCCATGCTGATGACACTTGTTAAAAAGAAATGCGTTAATTCAATTTGTGACTGAACTCCTTGGGGGAGAATTGTATGTCCCCTGCTCTGTTTTAGCCGCATTCTGCTATGTATTTCATGTTATAGCAGTCTCAGATGATGACCCAGCACATGATATTCATTTTAAGAACACTTTCACTGCAGATTTGACAAAATGCAACAAAGGTACCAATGTGAGATTTCTAACGATAACTCAGCACTTGACCCAAGGTTTAAGAATCTGAAGTGCCTTCCAAAATTTGAGAGGGATGAGGTGTGGAGCATGCTTTCAGAAGTCTTAAAAGAGCAACACTCCAATGCGGAAACTTCAGAACATGAACCACCAAAAAAGAAAATCAACCTTCTGCTGGTGGCATCTGACTCGAATAGTGAAAATGAACATGCGTCGGTCCGCTCTGCTTTGTATTGTTATTGAGCAGAACCCGTTATCAGCATGCACGCATGTCCTCTGGAATGGTGGTTGAAGCATGAAGGACATATGAATCTTTAGCACATCTGGCACCTAAATATCTTGCGACGTCGGCTACAGCAGTGCCATGAGAATGCCTGTTGTCACTTTCAGATGACATTGTAAACAAGAAGCGGGCAGCATTATCTCCTGCTGTCAACAAACTTGTTTGTCTGAGAATTTTTCTGAACAAGAAGTAGGACTGAGTTGACTTGCAGGCTCTAAAAATTTACATTGTTTTATATTTGAATGTAGGTTTTTTTTGTACATAATTCTACATTTGTAAGTTCAACTTTCATGAGAAAGTGATTGCACTACAGTACTTGTATTTTTCAATTCACCTAATACTATTCCTTTTGTTTTTTTACAGAACAGATACTTGTTATAAAAAAATAAATATAAAGTGAGCATTGTATACTTTGTATTGTGTTGTAATTGAAATCCATATATTTGAAAATGTAGAAAACATCCAAAAATATTTAAATAAATGGTATTCCGTTATTGTTTAACAGTGCAATTAATAGCGATTAATTTTTTTAATCGTTTAACAGTGCTAATTATTTGATATCCTATTTGTATTGCAATAGCATCCACAGGCACAAGTCAGGGATCTGAGGCTCTATTGTGCTTGGCACTAACACACCCACCCGCCACCAGGTGAAAGGAATGTCCCTGCCCCAAAGAAAATGCAACCCAGGTGGATCAGAATGAATCTTGAGATGTCCGTTACAGTGTGTTAGCTGATTGTTGGGTCTGCATGGGTATATCTACATTGCAATAAAAAACCTATGGCGTGGCCATGGCTGGCCCAGGTGGTCAGCTGACTAGGGGTAAGAGAATATAAAATTGCAGTGTAGATGTTCGATCTCAGGGTGGAGCCCAGGCTCTGGGACCCTCGCCGCTCTTGGGGGTCTCAGACCCCTGGCTCCAGCCTGAGCCTGAACATGTACACTGCAATTTTATAGCCCCACAGCCTGAGTCCTGTGAGCCTGAGTCAGCTGACCAAGGCTCTGAGACTTGGTGCTGCTGGTTTTTTATCACAGTGTAGACATAACTGGAAGTGTATTAAAATATTTCCAGAATATGCCTTCTGTGCTGGTATTTCTTAGTTCTTGCTGTAGGATTTGGATTGAGTATCTTTGCTACTTGAATCATGGCTTTGGAATTTTCACTTATTTGTTGGAGAGTTTTCCATTTTCTAGTAGCCTTTTTCCCCTCCCAGCAACAGAAGCACATACTGTTCCAATGTAAAAGCCAACTATTATTAGCACTGAGTTTTCAAATGTGACCCTGTAATGCGCAGAATGCTGTTTTAGTTAAGCAATAAGGCATGGTAGGATGTATGAATTTAGTGTGTAGCTTGAAGCCTGAGTGCAGCAAAACCAATTATATTAATGTATTAGTAGCCAATAATGCACATCCCTCTGCAACTGCACTATCATACTCTGGGATCTATTATATGCAGAGCACTCTTCATATTTTTCATTGCCATTCATCAACTGTGAAAGTCAGTTACTACTTGGAAGGATAAAAAGAAATCCTTATGAGTAAGGAATTATCACTGAAAATAGAAGAAGAGTTTGAATGTGTTTCTTGGAGTATTTTAATTGAAATATCCTATAAGATCCTATGAGGTCTGCTTGCTATCTACACACATTTTTAACATGGACTTTAGAAAAGGAATCTAACTGGGTAGAGCATTCTGCCAGTCTGTCAGTAATGAAGTGCAGTGCCGTGACTCTAGCTTCTCTCCTCCCTCACGAGTTAGTAGTAGCTGGGCTCAGCATGGATGCAGCATACTCCTCGGCAGGTTCGGGTTTCCTAAGGGACTTGCATCCAACCTGTTTCTTTCACTTCCATCCAGAGGATTCAAACTACACAAAGTCAAATCTCCTTTGAGGAGACAGGAGAAGGGCTGTCTGGTAGAAACAAGATCAGTTGACCAGGCATTTCAATACACATTGAAACAGCTGGAGATGCTTTTATGTCATGTCCACATTTAAAATTGTAGCTTAAGTGATGGCAGCTATCGGTGGATCTCCTTCCTCCTCAGTCATTAATATTTCCTGTGGCTGAGACTCCTGCCAGGTAAATTCTCAGCCCTGTAACTGTCAGCATTAGGTTTATAAAGAGGTTGTACATGATGAAATAGAACTTCCTTTTGCTAAAAATTATTTACCCACAAATGCTGAGCAAAATTTGTGAAGAACAAATAAAAAATTATCATCAGTTGCTTCTCTGTTGGTTTTTTTTTTATGTCACTAGTTGTTCTAATTTGTTGCATTATTCATGTGTCTTTTGGAGGAGACCTGAAATAATGGGGTTGCTGTCTCTGTGGGATATGGTGCGCCTGGTGAATATGCTAATCGTATTCAGATTTCTGCGGATTATCCCGAACATGAAGGTGCGTGTACCTTGCTTTTTCCCACTTCCTGAATTCTCGACTAGTCCAATTATAAAACTTCCTAGAACCTTCTCAGAATAATAACCCTTTTCCTCGCGGATGGATTTGATTGCACTGAAGAGGCATCTGAGTTGGGTTTACAACTTGGAAACTCCTCACTCTCAGTCCCCTTCCAGCATGTGGAGTGATGTGGGGGCGGGCTATATACAATGATCTGGTGGTTTGGATGTGGACCTGCAGCCACCAGTCGCCCAACTCTTTTTATGCCAGCGATCGGGGGCCCTGCCTAAGATGGGGGCCTTTGCAAGTTCACCGAGTTGCCCATTGATTAATCTGGACCTGAGTGTAGCTGCGGCAGCATGGGCTAGTAACTCAAGTACAGTCCTGTGAGAGAGCCTCGGTCTGTACTAGGGCAGCTGCCCGAGCTGCCACCCAAGTTGCGGTGGCCACAGTGCTATTTTTAGCACACTAGTTGGATGAATGCTAGTGCACACATGTTTACCCGAGGTGGAAATTCCAGCTGCATTGTATATGTACCCTATAAGTGACCTTTTGCCTTATGTTCCCACTCTTGAGCACCTGAGTGGATACAACTCCAATGAGGAATTTATAATAGTTTCTAGGTGCTATGTTGGCTCCCCCACCTAATTTCTTTAACAGACCCGGTGTTTGAGGGCCTTGTATGGGGATTTTGTCGTTCATATAAACAGCAACCTAGATGAGACAATCACTTTGTTTTCACTTGCAGTCTAGGTCAGGATTTGAACGCAGATTTGCAAAGGTGAAATGCCTGTGCACTGATCCTTGTAACTGAAATTACTTCCCATATCCTCATACCGAACCCTACTAACTTACAACCCAGGCCCAATTTCACCTCAGGTTCAAAGAGCTGATTCAGTATATGGAAATTTTTCCATTAAAAGTGCAAATCTTACTTATTTCTGGCTTGCAGTGACTCTGTAGCTGTATGGGTCCCAGGATATTAGAGAGACAAGGTGGGTGAGGTAATTTCTTTTGTTGGACCAACTTCTGTCAGTGACAGAGGCTAGCTTTTGAGCCACACTGAGCTCTTCAGGTCTGGGAAAGGTACTCCGAGCTGAAGAAGAGCTCTGTGTGGCTCAAAAGCTTTTCTCTCTCCAACAGAAGTTGGGCCAATAACAAACGAGCATAGCAAATTAGCCTGCTGTAGAAAGGCAAAAACAGCCAATATTTGGAGCTGTACACCTGGAAATAGTGAAGCTGCTTATAGCAGTGGTGAGTTCATATGAGGGACAGATCAGCCAGGGAACAATCTGGCTCAGCCTTGTTGCTTGTCATACCCATATGGTATGCTGAGCTAGTACCAGACTGTAGACTGCACCTGGGAAGAAAGCAGGCTTGGGTAGTTCCAAGAGAGACATTACCCTATTCAGAATTGGGTGAGGTCTGTCTGGCTGCCTAGGCTGGGAGATCCCTGGAGCCTTTGCATGACAGCTGCTGTGGAGACTATTTTGTACTTGCATCCCAGTTCAGTAAAACAAATGTTTAGCTAATGTCAGGGTGAAGTGCAAACTGGAAAGTGAGGAAGTGTGGTCTAATGGTTTAGGCATGGGACCAAGAGTTGGGAGTTGTGGGCTCCATTCCTGGCTCACCTACGGTCACCGTCTGACTTTGGGTAAGTCACTTAAGGTGTTTGCCTCAGTTTCCCAGTCTGTAATTTTGACAGAAATGACAATTTCCTGCAGTATCCTTGGTTATGAAATTTATGTATTATTCTGGGCTGGGATTGTCTAAAACTCTTTGGAGTGGGGGGGAGAGGTAACCTGTATAACTCCTGGGAGTACAAAAGACTATTGAAAATGTGCCAGACAAGTGTGGACTTTTGGGACAATAAATGTTAAGTGGATTTTCTTCAGATTCGCTAGGGAGAGGTTAATGCAAATTCCACAACTCTGGTTATGCAAAACCCCAGCCTTTTGAAGTTTTGCCCTGAATTGGTGTTTGTCTGCTTATTTACCTGTTAATGAAGGCCGAGATCACATGTCCAAGCCATTTAAAGAAACGGCTGTTCTGTCCAGTCCAAGGGAATGGGGGGGACCCAGTTGTGGCTGCCCTTGGCTGGAGCTGGGGCGACCTATGGTAGGGTTTTTCGCATGTGTATAGGTTCTTTTATTGATTCAGTATGTTTTCTCTGTAGTCTGTTTACCTTAAGAATAGGTGTGTTTACTTAGATGGAGCTGTGTGGTAACATAACTGGCAGTACACTTCAGAGAAAAAGCAAAGTGCAGATACTGGCCTGTTAAGGCAATCTGGTTTGCTGGGGATATCACAGTGTAACCCAAGGAGCTGTGGAACCCCCAGTCAGGAGGGAGAAAGACAAGGGTCTCTGCTGAAGACAGGTGATGGCTGGGAGCTTGAAAGCTTTAAGTAGATACCCTGGAAGGACCACAGAGGGGGAATACAGGTGCAGTCACTGTGAAACTGTGACAGGACTATTGTAATAGCATCCACCTCACAAGAGTATATGACTTCATTCATTAACTGTACTTAGTATGTGGAGATTGTACCGTATGACTGGAGAATTGCTAACATAGTTCCCATTTTTAAGAAAGGAAAAAAACATGATCCGGGTAACTACAGGCCTGTTAGTTTGACATCTGTAGTCTGCAAGGTCTTGGAAAACATTTTGAAGGAGAAAGTAGTTAAGGACATTGAGGTCAATGGTAAATGGGACAAAATACAACATGGTTTTACAAAATGTAGATCGTGCCAAACCAACCTGATCTCCTTCTTTGAGAAAGTAACAGATTTTTTTAGACAAAGGAAACGCAGTGGATCTAATTTACCTAGATTTCAGTAAGGCATTTGATACGGTGCCACATGGGGAATTATTAGTTAAATTGGAAAAGATGGGGATCAATATGAAAATTGAAAGGTGGATAAGGAATTGGTTAAAGGGGAGACTAAAATGGGTCCTACTGAAAGGTGAACTGTCAGGTTGGAGGGAGGTTACCAGTGGAGTTCCTCAGTGATCAGTTTTGGAACCAATCTTATTTAATCTTTTTATTACTGACCTTGGCACAAAAAGTGGGAGTGCACGAATAAAGTTTGCAGATGATACAAAGCTGGGAGGTATTACCAGTTTAGAGAAGGACTGGGATATCATACAGGAGGATCTGGATGACCTTGTAAACTGGTGTAATAGTAATAGGATGAAATTTAATAGTGAGAAGTGTAAGGTCATGCATTTAGGGATTAATAACAAGAATTTTAGTTATAAGCTGGGGACGCATCAATTAGAAGTAATGGAGGAGGAGAAGGACCTTGGAGTATTGGTTGACCTCAGGATGACTATGAGCCGCCAACGTGATATGGCCGTGAAAAAAGCTAATACGGTCTTGGGATGCATCAGGCGAGGTATTTCCAATAAAGATAAGGAGGTGTTAGTACCGTTATACAAGGCACTGGTGAGACCTCATCTGGAATACTGTGTGCAGTTCTGGTCTCCCGTGTTTAAGAAGGATGAATTCAAACTGGAATAGGTACAGAGAAGGGTTACTAGGATGATCTGAGGAATGGAAAACCTGTCTTATGAAAGGAGATTCAAGGAGCTTGGCTTGTTTAGCCTAACCAAAAGAAGGTTGAGGGGAGATATGATTGCTCTCTATATCAGAGGGATAAATACCGGAGAGGGAGAGGAATTATTTAAGCTCAGTACCAATGTGGACACAAGAACAAATGGATATAAACTGGCCATCGGGAAGTTTAGACTTGAAATTAGATGGAAGGTTTCTAACCATCAGAGGAGTAAAGTTCTGGAATAGCCTTCCAAGGGAAGCAGTGGGGACAAAAGACCTTTCTGGCTTCAAGATTAAACTGGATAAATTTATGGAGGAGATGGTATGATGGGATAACATGATTTTGGCAATTAATTGATCTTTAAATATTCATGGTAAATAGGCCCAATGGCCTGTAATGGGATGTTAGATGGGGTGGGATCTGAGTTACTACAGAGAATTCTTTCCTGTGTATCTGGCTGGTGAATCTTGCCCATATGCTCAGGGTTCAGCTGATCGCCATATTTGGAGTTGGGAAGGAATTTTCCTCCAGGGCAGATTGGAAGAGGCCCTGGGGGTTTTTCGCCTTCCTCTGTAGCATGGGGCATGGGTCACTTGCTGGAGGATTCTCTGCACTTTGAAGTCTTTAAACCATGATGAGAGGACTTCAGTAGCTCAGACATAGGTGAGAGGTTTATCGCAGGAGTGGGTGGGAGAGATTCTGTGGCCTGCATTGTGCAGGAGGTCAGACTAGATGATCATAATGGTCCCTTCTGACCTTAATATCTATGAATCTATTAATCTGTGAGATCCGTGGATGAAAATCACTATTATTTATATTATCGTAGCAGCTAGGAGTCCCAGGCATGAGTCAGGACCTCACTGTACTAGATGCTGTAGTAGAAGTGCAGAGTATTTAACTGCACTTCATTTTCCCAGCCTGCCATCATTCTATATCATTTTCGTTACAAGAGATTAGTGGGGCTTAAAAAATGTATAATAAAATATTGATAAGAATTCTGTGTTTTGTTTTAGTTCATGGCTTTGGTTGCCAGTACATTGCTGGATCTGGTGAAAAACTTAAGAGCCTTTGCAGGGCTGCTGGTGGTGAGTTACAATTCGAGATTGTCAGTCTTTCTATAATATGCTGCAGTCTAGGGTACGCTTTCAACAGAGTAAACCAGCGAAGGTACATGCATTGTCCCCACTAACAATAGCAGAAACTACATGACTAATTTTCATGAAACAGCACATCAGATATTTGCTTCCAAGTGTTTATCCTGCCCCCTAGCAGTGCAACCCTTCCTTATGGGATCAACAAACTAGCTGATTATTATATGTGGAGCTGGTAGCAACTTTCCATTATAAGACCCTCTGTTCAGTTACTTATAACTTTACAAAACTTTAAGCATTCAGGCTGAAATTTCCTGTCCTGGGTTTCTGCCTCAGGCTTTTTAATTTTTTTTTAAGTTTCAGCTGAAACAGTTCAGCCATGTCCAAGAAGAAGGTTAAGAAAATATACGTTATCCACATTAAAAACCACCCTAACCAACTAGAGCCCTGCGCAGATACAAAGTTTATATCTGTGGATATAAAGCAGATATCTGTGGAGTTGTAGGGCTCTACCAGGAACCGCAGCGGCGAAAGCAGCAGCACGTCAGGCCTCGGTTCACAGGAGCCAACATCCAGCCCGGGCAGCTCCTCCAGCATGGCCGTAGTGTCCCCAGCCCTGCCCACTGGGGCTGGCACCAGGTTCACCAGCAGCTGTCCCTGGTTGCGCTAGATTGTGCAAGCAGCTCGCATGCTCTCGGCCAAAGATACACGCAGTCTCTGCCCTAAGGAGCTTACAGTCTGAGACCGATCTTGCAATAGGCTGAGCACCCTCAACCATCATTAATTTCAAATATTTTTGTTTAAGTTGGAGTTGAGGATGCTCAGTTGATCTCCTTGGATGATGAGGTCTTATTACATTTGTTGTTGAGTTGAGACTTATTTTTTCCAACGTTAGTCTGCAACATATACTGTTAGTATCATGTTAATTATTTTTTGGCCCGTTTCTCTTTTGAGTGTTTACTGTATATATTAGAGTTAATTTCATAGCTGGTGTTACAGGGAATAAAACTGATTTATTATTGCTAAGCCAGATGCCCCACCTAGTGGCAGACTGTGGATGTGTAGCATCAACTGGATCCAACATGTTTAAAATCTTCTTGTATGTAGCTCAAAGTATAATATCCTTTTCCTTCCTGGGACTTTTTAAATAACAATATAGAAACATGAGAACTGAAATTATCCTGGCATTTTTACTAGAAAGCTCATGTTGTCTCAAGCCAGCCTAGTAGCAAGTGATGCTTTCTTCATTAAGAATTGTAAAGCGTTGACAACTCTCTGAAGGTTATTTCTAGGGCAACTCCTGACATAAGGTAAAATTTTCAAAAGTACATGAGTGATTTCAAAACATAAGTCCCATTTTCGAAAGGCACATAGTGCTCATTGATAATCAGTGGGAGCTGGTCCTTTTTCAAAATGGGAATTATGCTCCTAAGTCACTGAAGCACTTTTGAAAATTTAACTTTAGCACAATTACAGCGGTGCTTTTACAGAGGTTTCTGATTAAATATAAATAGCTGATTTAAATTTGGCCATAGCTTAGGTTTGGTAGAAGCTTGCTTTTAGGAAACCTAAGTCCAACAGCAATCTTCCCATAACTTTTTAAAAATCGCAATAGAAATTGTTTTTAACCGCCACTCCTCTGTAGTGTTTGCAGTTCAGCCATCACCACACTGAGAACCAGAAGGTGAAACTTTTCATAAAGAAAAGTGACTTCATCAGTTTTTTTTAACAATTCCCCACTGAATGGACTATAGAAAGAAAGCATACAGCATAGAGTGAAAAATAAGTGTGCTTTAAAAGTTTTCACTTTTAATAACCCATGGCATTGTTTTAAACAAATTCCGTTACCTCCGTTACTCCATGAGTTTTAAGTTGATTGTATTCCTTTTTAACATTGAATGGTCTCTGAGTAGCTTACCTTACAACACCCTAAGTTAGTTTTTGAGTATTTTAGTGACTAATGTTAATGTGTATTCCTTTCCAGGTGGTTTTCTATGCGTTTGCTATAACTGGCATAGGGCTATTTAAAGGTGCTGTTGTTCCTATGGGAAATATCAGGTAAGTCTTTACTCTAAATTTTCAGTATTTGGAAAGATCCTCTTGGTTTTTGAAACCCCACTGTATACCTCTGTTCTTATCTCCCTGAACTCTTTGATAAGTACCTCCATCCTCAGTCTCCTCTCTGTACGCTCCTCACTATTATAGTATAATTTTTAATTTGTGGTGGGCCAAGAATCTTTGACTTTCTTACTGTGAGCCCCTTGATTTTCCCTCCTTATCTTTCTCTTCCTTTCTCTCCAGTCTGTCACTAACCTCTTAAACCTTGCAGGTTTTCTTCCCCTGCTCACTATTCTATCCTTCCAACTTCCCATCACTGTTTTGAGTCTCCAGGAATGCTCATCCCCATCTTGGAAATTTCAGACCCCTTTTCTGCTTTCTCTCTAACTAGTGCTCCCTTTCTGCCTGTGAGAAGGTACTCAACTCAATGGAAGCATTCTACCTATAGAACAGTGTCTAGCATGTTATAATAACATTGCACTCTAATTTCATTGTAGTGTTGTCAATGCAACATCTGGTAACAGCACCTTGCAGTGTGGGACCTATGAGCAGTTGGAGTATTGGCCAAACAACTTTGATGACTTTGCTGTGAGTCTGGTTGCTAGTGGAATATGTTCTGTGTTTTCTGAAGATGTCTAAATAGTGACAGTTAGTGCAATAACCACTCAACCTCTGTTTCATCTTGTTGCTTAGGCTGCGGTAGTAACTCTCTGGGATATCATGGTGGTGAACAATTGGCAAGTTTTCCTGGATGCATTTTCAAGATACTCAAGTCCGTAAGTAATAAAACTGGTACCTAAGGAGACCCTCCATTGGGGGTATTATCCTGTGTTCTATTCAACATAGTTCTTCAAAGTAAATGGGCAGAAACTATAGACAGAGTTCACTTCTTATGATCTGGGAACAGGAATTACTTATGAAATTACTGCCTGCCTGCTGCTATCCCGAGTTGCGTCTCTTCAAATCCACCCAAGTATCTAGTAACCAAAGCTTGTCACTTAATGGACAGCTGTTTATTTGTCTATGTAAATTCATAGTCTCAGTCCAATGTCCAGTGGGCATCACATTTAGCAATAATTTGGAATCTTTGTTGGCAGTTGACTTGACCCAGAATTGAATTGACCATGGAGATTGGACTCCATATGAGTTTGCTTCACCCACCTTTGCTCCTTCATGGCCAACCTTGAGATGTGTTGGTAGATCGCTGTGGGGAAGCTTGTGTTACTGCTGTATCAGTTCTGTGGATAAACGGAGGTGTTCAGTCTCGTGTGTTGTCAGTCTAGCATCTTTCATTTGCATTAAATAAACATAGGTAAAGTTTAAGAATCTTGATTTTTCTTTAAGTTAATTTTCCCTTCCTTTGGTGTCCCAATTGGTTAAAGCACAATGCACTATACCGTGGTAGATTTGCCATTGACTTTGGTAGAGCCAAGATTTCACTTCATATTTCATTTTCAGAATTCAGACTCAGCAATTGATGTGATATCAGTGTGTGTTTGTGTGAGGGGTGGTTGGGGATGGATTCTGATGAAGGACAGTACATTTATCTCTCAACTGATTGAGATCCAAACTTAACAAATGGTTTCTCCCAGACAACTGTTTTATTTATGAAAATGGTGCAGCTTTTCACAGGGAAAAATTTAAGTCCACAGCTATGAACTTTCATGGCTTTTTAAGGGATGGAGGCATTGGATAATCATTTTCATTATAAGGTGGAATTGTTAGTCTCATAATATTGTACACATCTTTATTTTTTGTCTTTTTAATATCCTCCTTCTCCAGGTGGTCAAAGGTCTATTTTGTAGCCTGGTGGCTAATTTCCTCTGTCATTTGGGTCAATTTGTTCGTAGCCTTACTTCTGGAGGTAAGGGAATGAGTTTTATCTGTAGATTCTTGAAAGGTGTGAGAATTTTTATGCAGATCTATTGGAAGTAGAGTTTTTGCCATTATGTGAAGTTGAGCACTCAGTGATGGAATAAATCCAAAGCCTGTCCAGGTGTAAGAGGACATCTAGTGATAAGAGTAATTATGGACATAATTTAATTAACTTTAGAGAATATTGTCCATCCAATATCCTCTAATGGGAATGAAAAGAGAACAGTTATTATTAGCATGAATTGTCCCAACTATTCTTGTGTATGTCTGGTCACCCTTGGCACACGAGAACTGTATTAAGCTGGAGGGTGTATTTTCTGGATGGGGTCATACAAACCAAGGTCCTGCTTACTTGGTGTAGATGTTAAAGACTCCAGAGCACTCACTGCAAGAGTAAGTATTTTTCCTACAGTCTTTTGGACTGCATTTTTCATGCTCCCTTGTTGTATGATATACTGTTTGCTGGTTGGTCATCACTATCTGCCCCAGAGCTGGTTTGCATTTTATTGGTGCTGAATGATTTCAGTTTGTAAACAGCTTTGAAGGGTATAAATATACGGTGTTCTTATTTACTATATAAGTGCCACAGACTTGCCTGTGTGCTGTACTGTACTGTGTGTCTCTAGTACTAATCACCTAGGCTGCAGGTTTGTGGTGGCCATGCCCATTGCAGAGAGAGCTGGCTCTATAGGATTCCAGAAAAAGCTATTCCACGTTTGAAGAGGCTGTGCCATGATTTTCCACTCCTGCAGAGGCACTGAGGCCAAGTCCAGAGAGGCTGGCCTGATTTAAAGAGGTTGCCCTCTAAAGCATGGTGATGATGAAGCAGGTTTTAAAGATGGTGCTGAAATCAGTATATAAAAATATTGTCATGACAAGCTTGCAGCTTTACCAGTACTTGCCTCTGCATCCTTTCTGGAAGGCTAAATAGCTACAAAATAGACTCTGGAGTGCCACCATCAAGTCCGAGCCTTATCTGCGAGCGTACGGGAAGGTATTCTACCCTTGGGGACCAGCCCAGCAGAGAGATCCATTGACTTTTTTTCTGCGGATTTGGGGCATAGATCTGGTGTAATGGCTTGGATGTGGCACTGTGTGGCAGGAAACTTTGTTTCTGCATGAGTTGTCCATCTACCTCTTGTCATTGTGTAAATCAAAGCAAGCAAAGAGACAAGCCAGAAAATCATTCCTTCTTTGATAAAGCTGTGACATTTTAACTTGAAGTAAGTCAAAGAAATTGCTTTTCAGCCGGGGGGAACCTAAGCAGGTGAACGCTAGCAGGGACATTTTAAAAATGTGGATGTTTAAATCAGGGAATGCAGTTTGTACAGTGTATAGAACCCAGGAGTCCTTTAGTCCCTCTGCTCTATTTTTACCTCCACCATCTCACTGTGTGACCATGAGCAAGGTACTCATCCCTGTTTCAGGCACAGAAACGTAAACAGTGATTTACCTCGAAGCGTTGTGTTGAAGTGTTAAGTTAATTCAGTGAAGTGCAGAAGTAATATTTTTATTATTTGGTATTTTGGTTTATTATTATGTGCCTCATATATATATATATATATGTATAACTGGCTCGGAGAACATTTCTGTTCTGGGCTTTAGGGGGATTTATAAAAACTAAACCACGGGGAAAATATAAAACGTTATGTCTAAAGATGCTAAAACTAGCCTTTTATTTTCTTTCTCCTTCCAATTCCAGAACTTTATTCACAAGTGGGACCGTCACTCCCATCGGCAGTCTCTCTCAGAAATTGAATACCAGACAACGGTGGAATTAATGTTCAGGTGAGTCACATTAGGACTAGGTGGATAATAGCCTATTTTTAAGGATGCTAATCTCCTTTTCAAAGACAGCGTTCCAGGTGGGAACAGGGTTTGCTTCAAGCCTGGTGAGTAAGAGTACAAATCTTTTAGCTATTAGCCGGGAGCAGTCCTGAAAGTGCTTTACCTATGCCTGCCCTGCCCTGGCTTAATAGCCTAACCTTTTGGAACATTCCATAATATGATGCTGGGAGAAGAGGTGCTAATAATGGACTACTCTGGGTGGGAAGGGTAAAACAATCCACATTCTTGGCTTTGTGTTCGACTGTGGGTGGAGAGTTGATCGTGTTGCATAAGTAGAACTTGTGGTACAGATTTAATGTGCAATGGCTTCACTGGGAGCATGTTCTCATTTGACAAGTTTTTTTTCAGGAAAGCACATCCATTGACCTCAGTTATGTTGTACTGCGTGCAGGAAATTGCTTTCCTTCTCCTTATGGGAAAACAGCTGCTGGTTTCTATGACACGTCTGTAGTGTAGAAGGATGGATCACTTGGAAGTGGATGCATCATTAGGAAGCATCAGCCTGTTGTAATTGTAATTCTCTTCTTCAGTCTTGAAATAAGAATGTTATATCTCAGTAAAAAAATGTTGAAAAATCCCCTTTGCTGCCCTAAGCAACTTATGCTTTTTTCTTTGTAGGGATGTTTTGGAAGAACCTACAGAGGAAGAGCTGATGGAAAAACTGCACCAGCATCCACACCTGCAACTGTGTAGATGACAGATTGGTGGGAGGACCAGTTTATTTATGCCTTTTTTTGCAATAAGGTTGTCAGCTGGAGGACTGATTATTGCAGTGAAATTGAATGTATTTTCTGTAAAGTGCTGTTAACCTGAAAGCTTACAGGAAAGCATGTAACATTTTAGTTGGCATTTTGATTTTACTCTTGAACACCACCTACAATGCAGAGAACTGCAGGGAGAACTTTTTTTTTAAAATAATCTGCTCCTTTTTTAAAAAAAAACATTAAATTCTTCTAATGTGACTTGATTTTAGTCATTTTATGGGAATATGCAGCTGTTATTTTTTTTAAGTGTCAGGACAAGTAGTTGTAGACCATTTTATTTGATTTTTTTTTTTAAGAAGGAAGAGAGTATTAAAATGACAGTGCACTTTAATGCAAACACTTCTAACCACTATGCTTGCTGCTTTTTTGTACCATAAATAATGGAACTGCCTATTCTGGCATTCAGCGTGTGCCAAGGACCGTGCTTTGAAATTCTTGAATGAATTAGGCAGAGTCATGCTCTAGATTCTCAGCCTTTTTGTAATAAGGGAGATCGAAACACTATTTTTATTGAAATATGATGCCAGCATTCTTTTATTTACTAAATGTTCATAATTGTACAATCCTGTTCAAAAGTTCAGGTCGAAGGTGGAGATAGTCTGTATCACAGTTTCCTTTTTTTGGCCGGTGTTAAGGGCTGTGCCCATGTGGTGATTGCATTATATTGATAACATTATCAAGGTCAGTATAATTTTGGATGGAACAAACGTGCCCTTGTTTTACAATCTGGAATAATTAAGCTCTACTTCAGAGAAAATATGCTCATGTTGTTTTGAAAATGAGCTCTTCCTTTTTGCATTCTGACAAGTCTTGTTTTCCCTGGATTCATATTGAGCCACAATTTGTTTACTTTTGCAAGAATTTTAGTGGAAATCCTGTGCAAAATATAGCCATGTATCCACCTTGGGTGGATGGGGAGCAGGCAGTAATGTTCAGGCTTCCCCCTTATAATCTATACCTGTATATAATAAATTGATTTTTAATTCAGGGGAGTGGATTTAGGATAGTATGTGGTACCAAAATCATTTTTTTTTGAGCTGGATGGGACAAATCCTGCAAGGTACTGGGCTGCCTCATTTCTCACTGTAGTCCATGGAAGCTTGAGGGTGCTTAGAATCATGCAAGATCATATCCTTTGTGCTAGCTGTTTTCCCCAGTTCTGGTTAAACATTTATTGTATCATAGACGTCAGAGATGGGGGGGAAGGGCCTATTAGGTCATCTAGTCCATCACCTTGGAATCAACACAGGATTGTTCCCTATTTTCTAGCTTTTTTTCCAATACAGTTCCACAGCAAGACACTCGCACAGTTGAACAGCTTCCACTATCTGATGCATCTCATCAGTAGGAAGTTAGCCTAATTTTTTCTTATTTTAGTGTAAGCCAGTTACTCTTGGTTATCACTCTTTAACCGCATTAAGCATTCATAGAATCATAGAATATCAGGGTTGGAAGGGACCCCTGAAGGTCATCTAGTCCAACCCCCTGCTCGAAGCAGGACCAATTCCCAGTTAAATCATCCCAGCCAGGGCTTTGTCAAGCCTGACCTTAAAAACCTCTAAGGAAGGAGATTCTACCACCTCCCTAGGTAACGCATTCCAGTGTTTCACCACCCTCTTAGTGAAAAAGTTTTTCCTAATATCCAATCTAAACCTCCCCCACTGCAACTTGAGACCATTACTCCTCGTTCTGTCATCTGCTACCATTGAGAACAGTCTAGAGCCATCCTCTTTGGAACCCCCTTTCAGGTAGTTGAAAGCAGCTATCAAATCCCCCCTCATTCTTCTCTTCTGCAGGCTAAACAATCCCAGCTCCCTCAGCCTCTCCTCATAACTCATAATTCCTTTAACTCCGTCTTGTTTCTATACTCTGTATACTTGGTGAATTATGTATGTTCATCCTGCCAAGTGAGCCTGTCCGTTCCTGTATGCTTGGGATGTTTTTATTTGGCCATTATGTTCCATTGTTTACCAAAGTAGCATAACTTGGTGTGATATTTGTATAATCTACATAAATCATGTCTCTTGTATGCAATCCTTGCACATGGACAGATGTGCAGAGAACAGTCTATTTTAGTGCTTTGTTTGTTTGTTTATATATTGGACTGGGAATGTAATGCAGAACTACATACAGGAAATAGCGTGTCTAATATAAATTGTACTGTAAGAGGTAAATTACTGTGTGATACAACTCTTATGCTTTAAATGCACAGAGACTTGAATAGAAGTAAAACAGAAGGCTTAATTGGTAAAAATGTCCTTTTTATTCCTTTCTTCCATTTACGTGTTCTAAATGTTGAAGGACCTCATGTGTGGTTTGATCATCTGAAGGGCTGAGCTCTTCCCATGACATGTTGAGCACCTTCCACTCCCATTGATTTCAGTTAGAGTTGAGTGCTCAGCACTTCTTTGGCTCGAACCTATATAGAATTGCTATTTATGCTGTGTTGCATAACCTGGACATAGGTGGTTATTCTTGTTAAGGGTGGGTAGATGAGACACAGACACACACCTGGAAGAAATGACCATTTGAAAGCTTTGGAAAAATGTATTAAAACCATAGTTTGGATTCTCATATGTAAATACAGCAACAAATTTGGTTTTCTATCTTCAGATGATTTTTTTTCTTCTGGTTTGCTTTCTAGTAAGTACAAAGCTGTTCTGTGGAAATGGCAAAAAAAAAAAAAAAATTCATCAGCTCCATTGTAACAAATCCATGACCAAGGGAGAACTTTGACGTGTGATTACTTCGCTTGCTTTTGCCACACTAAAAAGCTTTAGTGACAGCAGGATTGTACCCCAGATCTTCCTGTTCCAAAATCAGTAGCCCCTCCCACTTCAGTTTAAGGAAAAACATCTATGCAGCTATTGCAGTATCAGAGTTTAGGGAATAAAGCTGAGAAGTTCTGACTCCATTCAGTAGGAGACAGCACAAGCACACTGCTCTATGGAGACATGTATAAAAGAGATTCTGTTCAGAGCTGCAAATGAGACAGGCGGTATAATTCCCGTTACTATGCACATGTTACAATGCATAGAGAAAAGCCTACCATTAGCAGGTAAAATCATAAGGGATTGATTGAGATGGGGGAAACGGACTTTATAGTTTCTCCACATTTTTATTAATATCTGTACTGTGTTGCTGTGTGTAAATTTTTTTCAGCTGCACAGCTTGCTGCTTTTGGCGAGCATTTATTTTCTAGGTTTTTAGAGCAATATTAAAAATGATTCCCAGTATCCATTAGTTATCCCCAAACTGCAAGGTCAGGTTGGCTTAAACACTTATGTGCTATCTTTTATCCTGTGTAAATTACAGGGTTTATCTTTTCACTTGCTGATAGACCACATGTGCTGGCAGCTGTGCATACTGTTATGGTTTTAGAAGCTGATACTACGGCTTAAAATTCCTTAATCCAAATAGAGCAGAGGTTTTCAAACTGTGGGACATACCCCCTTAGGGGGTGTGGAAGAACGTTTGGGCGGGGGACAAGCGGGGTGGGACCTGGGCCAGGCTCCGCGGGGGAGGGAGTGCCACCTCCACCCCGACTCACCTCAGCAGGCCGCTCAGCCTGTGGGTCCATGGCAACATCTGCCATGGATGCCGATTTCCGCTCCCGGCAGCCTTTGCATCCAACACTGGCTCCACCCCCAGAGACAGTTGCCCCACCCTGAAAACACGAGTGGGCAGGGGCAGAGGGGCAGGTATTGGCCCTGCCCTAGCAGTGCAGTCTGGCTGCAAGGTAAAAGTAGTCCGGCTGCTGAGGAAGCCTTGGCTGTGCCATTGGTAAGTATCTGTGTATTTGAAACTTGCAGGTGTACATAATTTAATTAAAGCTATGTTAAGGTCTCTGTTAGGTGTATGAGTAGGCCATCAGTCTTACCTTTGCATGTGTCTGTTTTTGTCTGGGTTGCCTTTGCATATGTCTGTTTTTGTCTGGGTTGGGGGAGGCAACCAAAAATTGAAACTCAAAGAGGGGCTCAGCTCAAAAATTTGAAAACTGCTGAAATAGAAACTGTTTCAAGTATTCCACCTGCCTCACCTGCATCTTTGCTTTTTATGAAAACCAACCAACCACCCAAAATAAAAGTAGAATGTGTCAACCTGCTCTTCTACTTTTCATAGGGTTTTACCATCTTAACTTGAATGTATGTGGGCCCAATTCAAAGCCTGTTGAAATTGGTGGGGGGCATTCCGATTGATTTAAAGGGCATTGGCTCAGGTCCTATATCTGCATTCCTAGGCAAACACTTTCAAGCTTTCAGTGTAAACCTGTAACTCTGAGGAGGAGGATTTGGGATGTATGTGAATAGGATAGTGTGGGGGGGGGGGGTGGCGTGGGGGGAAGTAGATGGGGCTTTGTGCATATTTCCACTCTGAGCATCTTAAGTCAACATTTAATTTTCCTGGTTATTGCTGAATGAAATCCTAACTGCTATAAACAAAGCAAGCATTAACTGGTAAGTCATTTACTTTTGTTTCTATCTCATATTTCACAAAGTTACACATAAACCTTATACACCAACTGTCAAGAGCAATGGGTGTGCCCTAAATGGTCATTTTCTCACATCCTTCCTTAATCCTGTTGTGTATAGTTGGGTTATTCTGCAAATTTGTTTTGAATAGTTTTTCTGTTTTGTCTTCTCCTCCCCCAACCCACTCTCCCAATTGTTCATTGGCTCACCAATTTATTGATGTTTGTTTTTTCTAACGTGAAATGTCCATATTTGTACACAACGGAAACCCTACAAAAATCAACAGGCATTTGATGACAATAACCAAATTAAGATTTAGGATAAAACTGTGTTTCCTAAACCGGAAATGAGAACTAAGCACTTAGGAACCTGAGACACTCCTGAAAATTAGTCACATAGGCATTTTTGAAAATTTTACCCTTAAAGCTTTTTTTAATTATGTGCAAATTTTCTATGTTTTTCGGTTAATACGTATGAAAAAAGATACATAAATCACTAACAGTAATGTAATATATGATGTTTTGGATCATAACTGTAGAATATTATAGTTTTTTTTTAGTAAGGGTTTAAATAAAACATTTTTTCCACCTGCTGATCTTAACAGCCAAGATTTTTAAGAGTGACTAACAATTTTGGAGGCCTGGCTTGAGATACCTTAGACTGGGGACCTGATTTTCAGTAAGTGCTGTGCATATAGCCTCTGAAAATCACTCCCCATTTATAGTCTCTCAAGTTGAGCGCCCAAAAGTTGAGGCACTCAAAATCGTTAGTCATTTGTGAAAATCTAGACTAACATGTTTCACAATCATTAGTTGAGCGTCACAACATCCCTGTAAGCTATTTCCCCCATGTTACAGATAACGTGAGGCATGAGAGATTAAGGCCTTGTCTACACTGGCACTTTACAGCGCTGCAACTTTCTCACTCGGGTGTGAAAAAACACCCGCCTGAGCGCAGCAAGTTTCAGCGCTGTAAATCACCAGTGTAGACAGTGTACCAGCGCTGGTAGCTGCGCCCCTTGCGGAGGTGGTTGGTTTTTTGTTTTTTGTTTTTTTTAGAGCGCTGGGAGAGCTCTCGCCCAGCACTCTGCCGGGACTACACAAGCCACGTTAAAGCGGTGCTGCGGCAGCACTTTAACATTGCCAGTGTAGACAAGCCCTAAGTAATTAGCCCAAGGTTACATGGGAAGTCTGTGGCTGAGGTGGGAATAGATCCCAGATCTCCTGACATCCTTAACCACAAGCCTAGCCTTACACTCCAATCTACAGGGAGAATGTGCCAGAATTATTCTCTGTGTCTGCAGAGCTGTTGTTTTCCCAACATGAAGCTAGGGAAAATGTTCAGAAAACACAAGCCTAAGAGACTTTATTTGTTTTTAAGACTAAATATATAGTGATGTATGTAGCAAACTGTTTAAATGGCCACCTATAATTACCTCCTTTGCAGAGTATGTGAAGAATTTCAAGACTGAGTATAAAATGTAGTTGCTAGGTATAATAAGTGTGTGGGTTTTTTAAAAAGTGCCTTAGTGGGCTAATAACCTATTGCATTCCTGGGGGAAAATGATGGTGTGCAGTTGCCACCACTGGGCATGCATGTGGCTGCCAAAGATGGAACTTATGCTATGTCATGAATTACCCATGTTACTTACTACGGGGGAATACCAAAATGTCTGCTATTGCTCACAATTATGATTCCAACCAACAAAAATATTTACTTGAAAGTACAAATGAAACACACAGGCTCGAAAACATTCCAGAGCCATTTAGATTTCAGTTCTGTGGTTTCAGTGAGACAGACAATACAGCAATCCTAAAGTTACATTAATGCAAATGCTAGAAGAAACAAGCTGGCAAGAAATCAGGGTTCTCGGTCGTTTTATTAAATTGGACTTGTCAGAATCTCAGGTTTTCATGAAGTTTATTAGCGTGGACTCTTATATCCAATTTTAAACTTTGAAATTTTCATACCAAGAGTATTAAAAAGTTTGCTCTGAATTTGAGACATGAATTTTTGTAACTTAAAACAGCGAATTCACAAAGACAGGTCCCAGGCTGTCCTGTTACTTTTATTTTTTTTTAAAAACTCAATATTAAACATTTTCTTAAAAAATACTGGGTCCTCTATATTGCAGTGAGCTAGCAGAAGTCTTGGCTTTGTTCTGTGTGGATACTTGGATGGCCCCCTTCACAGTAATATTGCAGCACTTCCCAGCTACTTCTGGATTTTCCTCAAAACATCCCTGTGAGGTAGGAATATATTACTGTCCCTCTTTTGCAGAGGATCACCCAAGATATTTGGTGGCCTGCCCAGGATGACGTTGAAAATCCATGGGAGAGCTAGGAATCGAACCCAGAGTCCCAGTTCACAGCCTTAATCCAGGAGAGAGGCCTCTTTCTTTCTTGACTATACCTGTGAATTTCAGGTGTATGTTGTAAAAAGATGTTGACATTTCCATCTTAAGTGGTTCATAATTTTGCCACTATGCATCCTTAAGTCTTCCATGTTACTCTCATTTGTTTTTGTGTAGCATTTTGTTCTATTTTAAGTCCTTCCCACGACGAAGCTTGGTTTTTAGACAATACACCTCTAGCCCGATTATAACGCGGTCCTCGGGAGCCAAAAAATCTTACCGCGTTATAGGTGAAACTGTGTTATATCGAACTTGCTGATGATCTGCCGGAGTGCACAGCCCCACACCCCAGGGTGCCTCCCTTTACTCTGATATACCCGAATTTGTGTTGTATCGGGTTGCGTCATATCAGGGTAGAGGAGTAGAAGG